GAAGGTCAAATTAAGGTAAAGATTTGATCATTCGAAGTAGCATAGGGAGAGTGGTCCCCCTGGAGTTGTGGGCATTACAAAAGGAAGAGGAATGATTGGGTGTGTAAGAGGAGGAGGTGATTGGAAGATGAGGGAGAAGTGGTGACGTGTTGTCAAGAACACTTTCAAAAAGCTTTGCTGGGAAAGGAACAGCCAGGAGTGTGGAAGGAAAGGAAAGTTTGGAGGAGTTTTTGTGCTTGTTATTGATGTTGTTTCTGATAGCAATCCTTGAGCATTTGGCTCAGAGGAAAGAGCAATAGCAAGAGAGAAATTGGAAGATAGAAGAGAGGGGATAACTGGTGGCCCGTGGCTCCAGAGGAGTCAGGGCGGGGCGGGCGTGGTGGGTCAGGGAGATAAGTGAAGTTATCAGAGTTAGACTGGAGAAAGACTCCCTAGACGTCTATGCGTGTAAAAAAGAAGGAAATGATGTCTGGGATAAGGATCAGTTGCTTATTTTTATTTTGGAGAGTGGCTGAGGTCAAAGGGAAGAGAAGCCTGCTGGCCTGTATTTTCTCTTTGGAATCAGAAACAATGTCACCTGGAGTAAAGTGACTGGGTGGGGGAGTCTGAAGAAAGTGGTGGATAGGAGATTTTCAGGTAGATTGATGCCTAAAAGAAATAAATGGTGCTGAATCTAGGATAGCATCATGAAGTTGTCTCTGTTTCCCAATGAAGTCCTCCTAGAGCAAAGTATGGGAACAGAGAAGGCAGAGCTGGTCAGAATAACCCAGTGTTAGGAGTTTGCAGCTTTCTGAATGTCTTAGAAAGGCGAAGGAGTGAACTTCAGGGCGTTAAGAATGTGCTTGAAGTCTTAGGCCGTGGGATTAATACTGATGAAGCCACATGAAGATTCTTCTAACAAATCCGTGCCACCCTCCACCCTCTACTTCTGACTCCTTACACAGGAAGGAGGAGACCCCTTCACCAAAATTAGTTTTCTCCCATGCTCAAAACAGAACCAAATATTTTTATATCTTTTAACTTTCTTCGAAGTCTATCATACACTGTTTGCCTTGCTATAATTCTAAAGCAGCTTGGGTTACAATGCTTATTAGATTGGGTGATTTTGCTACAGAAGGTCAACTCCGGAGAAATTTTGTTAGATTTTATTTAAATTTCAAAAATATATCACTGATAGATCATCGACAGTATACTGGAGTGGGTTGCCATACCCTCCTCCAAGGGACCTTCCCGACCCAGGAGTTGAATCCATGTCTCCTATGTCTCTTGCATTGGCAGGTGGGTTCTTTACCACAAGCGCCATCTGGGAAGCTCTAAACTGTTACGCAAACAAATGTTATAGTTTCAGGGTCACAGAGGCAGGAAGGCATACATTCCTGCTGCTTTGCAACCCCAAATGTTTGGATTTGTTTTATCTTGGACCTTCTGAGCAAAGAAGACAATTACTTATTTTTTATATTTACTAAGATAATTAAACATGGCCTGTTGTCTGTTTTTAAGGCCTGTCAGACTGTCTAGTACATTTCTGTCAACTTTTAGCTTATAAGGATAGTGGGAAGCCACCATAGTCAAAGAAGACTTTAAAAAGCACAACCCACTTTAAAAAGCACAACCCACTCAGTCATACTCCACCAGACATGCGTTTTTTATTTGAATGATAGGTATTGCTTGTTCAAAAATGAGAAGAAACTTGCTCGGGGGGAAGGAAAATTCTGAGAGCTAAATACTGTCTCTTGATAGGAAATTGACTCTTACATGAATTATTTAGCTTCACTGGTTTCAGCTTTTTTACTACATTTATAAGCACATTTGTAATGTTGAAGTTCTGATAACTGAGCCTTTGAACTCCTTGTTCAGAAGATAACATTACTTTTAATTATTTAGTTTGTGAGAAGTGCCTCTGACTACTTACAGTGGAGCATTTTCTGGTTTCTTGCTTACGGTTGTGCTCCAGGAAACCACATTTGTGGTTCCCTGGGGACAGCATCAGAGAAGCCACTAGTGGCTGTATCAACAGAGAGGTGCTTGTGCGTTATTATCATCATCAAGTATATTGAGGATTGGACATTTTGCCCCAAAGTACTGACTTTGTTGTCTGCAGTAGTAGGGAATTTGGCAAAGTTTAAAAAGAAACCAAAGATTTAGCACTGAAAAATGAAAAAAATTGTAATTCTTCATTAATTTGATAAAAATAATTTCATCTCATTAAATGGTATTTTCAGCTCACTTACACATTTAATCATTTAAAATTGATTGTATTTATTCATCAAAGATGCCACTAAATTTTCTCTGTTTAATAGTTACAAACAGTTCTTCAGATTCTAATAGGTTGTCTCGCACACTTTGGCCGAACAAAATGGATGAAGCCCAGTCTGTATCAATTATAGACCTTAACTATTTCTCAACTCTAGACTGAAGTCTCTTTCTTTCATTTCCTGGTCCAACACTTTGGTGACCAAATAGCAAAAGAATGAAATGTTTCTTGTGTGGTTACTAGTTATGTTCTTAAACATACGAATTTGTAGTAGCTTTGTTAAAATCTTTCCGATTGATCCCAGCTTTTCTGTCAGATATGATCCCAAGTGATTACATTTTCATTTAATTCCTTTCCATTAATGGGACAGCACTTCAGGAAAGTTATATATTTAAACTGATATTCTTGGAATCCTATGAATAGAGGAGATTTATGTTATCTTACTGAGAGAATATGTAACGGGTGTAATTTATTTTCTTCAAGAACCAGAAACATGTGACAAAATCCTGGTTTCCTGATCCTAGTGGAATGCTTTGCCTTTTAGCCTGCTCCAAAGAATTTTAGAAATTGCCTGGCTTAGGGATTTTTATTTGCACATTTCTTATGCATTGTATGCTAAAATTATAAATAATGACTGGAACCATAGCTTTTGAGAACTCTGAGGGAATTAGCTATTTTAAGTAGTTATTTCCCAGCTAAAAAATAATCCATGCCCTTGTGAAGGTTTTTAAGTTATTATTTCAACTTAACAAATAATTTTACAAATTTTGACCATATATAAATGAAAATAAAATTTATTTCGTGCTTTTCTCCTTAAGCAACAGTTAGAGCTGGACATGAAACAACAGACTGGTTCCAAATAGGAAAAGGAGTACGTCAAGGCTGTATACTGTCACCCTGCTTATTTAATTTATATGCGGAGTCCATCATGAGAAACACTGGGCTGGATGAGGCACAAGTTGGAATCAAGATTGCTGGGAGAAATATCAATAACCTCACATATGCAGATGACACCACCCTTATGACAGAAAGTGAAGAGGAACTAAAAAGCCTCTTGATCAAAGTGAAAGAGGAGAGTCAAAAAGTTGGCTTAAAGCTCAACATTCAGAAAACTAAGATCATGGCATCCGGTCCCATCACTTCATGGCAAATAGATGGGGAAACAGTGGAAACAGTGTCAGACTTAATTTTTGGGGGCTCAAAAATCACTGCAGATGGTGATTGCAGCCATGAAATTAAAAGACATTTACTCCTTGGAAGGAAAGTTGTGACCAACCTAGACAGCATGTTCAAAAGCAAAGACATTACTTTGCCAACAAAGGTCCGTCTAGTCAAGGCTATGGTTTTTCCAGTGGTCATGTATGGATGTGAGTGAGAGCTGAACTATAAAGAAAGCTGAGCACCGAAGAATTGATGCTTTTGAACTGTGGTGTTGGAGAAGACTCTTGAGAGTCCCTTGGACTGCAAGGAGATCCAACCAGTCCATCCTAAAGGATATCAGTCCTGGGTATTCATTGGAAGGACAGATGTTGATGCTGAAGCTCCAATACTTTGTCCACCACATGGGAAGAGCTGACTCATTTGAAAAGACCCTGATGCTGGGAAAGATTGAGGGCAGGAGGAAAAGGGGGATGACAGAGGATGAGATGGTTGGATGGGATCACCGACTCAATGGACATGGGTTTGGGTGGACTCTGGGAGTTGGTGATGGACAGGGAGGCCTGGAGTGCTGCAGTTCATGGGTCTGCAAAGAGTCAGACACGACTGAGAGACTGAACTGAACTTTCTCCTTAAACATAGTAACTGCTTGATGATTTACTTGATAATGTACTTGATGTGGTATTAGTTTGCTTTGATATGTAATCAATACAGGAGTGCCATTAGAGTATTTTTTTGTTCCTCTAACATTTATTGATTGTTCACTATAAGCCAGGCACTGTTCTGGGCATGATATCTGTATAGTTTTGTACTAGTATTTCTATACCTTGAATTCTTGGCCCAATTTTATGGCTTCTCCTTCCTGCCTCTATCTGAGCATAATGTTAAGAGCATAAATTCTAGAACTAGGCTGTTAAAATTTGTATCCTGGCTCTGCTGTTACTGGATGTTTGACTATAAGCTACATAACCTCCCTTCACCTCAGTTTTTGCATCTGTAAACACACACACACACACACACACACGCGCGCGCGCGCGCCTGCCGAAATGTTTGGAAGAGTGCCTGGCACAAGGGTAGTCCTACAGAAAGTATTGATCATTATCACTACTGTGAATATTACTATTACTGTGTATTCTTAATACTATTTGTCCTGTTTACTTTTTTAAAATTTCTCCGACCTTAGAAAACAGATAACTAAGCTTGCTGGAACTAAGTGTAAAATAAGAGTAGATTGACTATTTGAAACCTGAGATTTCCTTTCAAGAAAACAAAATGCAGTATATGCTTTGATACTGCATTTTGGCTACTGAGAACCTTTTTTTCTTGGTATGTACTGTTGCTTAGTCGTGTCCAACTCTTTGCAGCACTGTGGAAGGTAGCCCCGGGTCTCCTCTGTCCATGGGATACTCCAGGCAAAAATACTGGAGTGGGATGCCATTTCCTTCTCCAGGGGATCTTCCCAGCCCAGGGATCGAACCTGCAACTCCTGCATTGCAGGCTAACCTTTAATAGGCCATATTTATTGAGGAAATACTGAGGAAGGAAAAAAACCAAAAATTTGTCTTAATAAAGAGGACTTGTTTTTCAGGGAAAAAGATCTTGAAGAAGCTCTGGAAGCAGGAGGTTGTGATCTTGAAACTTTGAGAAATATAATTCAAGGGAGGCCACTGCCTGCTGATCTGAGGGCTAAAGTTTGGAAGGTAACTGGAAACTAAAACAAGTAAAATGTAATCACTTAAGAACAATATTTGAGAATTTTGATTTTCAGCTGTCTTAGTTGCAGAGGACTTTATAATGTTATGTGCATTCCACATTTAGAAAATTTATCAAATAGAGCAGCTTGCTAAAGTGTGAGTTTCTGTGCATGTGGAAAGTTTTAGTGTCTGATACTTTGCGACCCTGTGGACTGTAGCCCGCCAGGCTCCTCTGTCCTTGGGATTTCCCAGGCAAGAATACTGGAGTGGGTTGCCATTTCCTTCTCCAGAGGATCTTTCTGCCCCAGGAATTGAGCCTGGGTTTCCCTTCATTGTGGGTAGATTCTTTACCGTCTGAACCACCAGGGAAGCCCGTGTTTCTGTAGTGTTTGGTATATTTAATAATTTAGGTTTTGAAAGGCAGTGCTTCCTTTTGTAACCATTAGAATTTATGTTTATGAAGATTATTCAGTGAAATGGGAAAGTGTAACCAGTGAGTAAAATAGGATATATAATTGCAGATATGGAATTAATCTCAGCTATATTTAAAAAAAAAAATTAAAAAGATGGGAGAGGAAATAGGTCTCCAGGTGTTAGAATTACAGATTTTCCTTTGCTCTATTTTCTGCTTCAGCTGTTCTCTAGTACATGTGTATTATCATTTTTTAATTTTAAATTAAGATTTTGTTACTATTAAAAAAGTAGTTCCCATTGTTAAAACATGTAAGCAAAGGATAACATAAAAAAATCATCTGTTATCTACCACTTACAGGTAAAACACATAGTAATATCTCAGTGTCACATCTTATTTTTTCCCCTCTGCACATATATATATGTAACAGAAATGGAATTATACCTGTGCTTAGTATTCTAAATGTTACAGAAATTTAAAACTCATGTGAAAACATAGAGACACGTTTAGTGAACCCCCGTGTACCCATCCCTGAGTTGTAACTGTTGTCAGCGTTCGGCCATGTTGCTGAACCTCCAATACTTTGGCCACCTGATGCAAAAATTGACTCCTTAGAAAGACCCTGATGCTGGGAAAGATTGAAGGCAGGAAGAAAAGGGGATGACAGAGGATGAGATGGTTGGATGGCATCACCATCTCAATGGACATGAGTTTGAGCAACCTCTGGGAGTTAGTGATGGATATGGAAGGCTGGCGTGCTGCAGTCCATGGGGTCTCAAAGAGATGGACACGACAGAGTGACTGAACTGAACATTTGGCTGATCTTATTTGATTAGAATTCTATCCTTTTCTCCCCACCCCACCCACTGTATTATTTTAAAGCAAATCCTTGGCAGGGCACTAAAATCTTTAGTATGAAAGTCTAAAGACTTTAAAAATAACCATAACACTATTAAATAAGAATTGTAATTCTTTAATGTGTTCTCACATGACCGAGGGAACAGGGGAGCTAAGTAGGGTCTTCTGTATAAGGAGGCCAGTCCCATTCATGTAGTGCTCCACCCTCGAGACTTACTCACCTCTCACAGGCCCCACCTGTGAATACCAAAACATCGGGAATTTGTTCAACATAAATGAATTTGGGGGAGGGGACACAAAGGTTCATTCTATAGCATTAATGATGTTTGCTTGAAATAAGCTTGCATGTGTAAAATATTATGTAAATACTTTGTGTAATTCGTTTTATTCACTGGTTTAACATAAAGTAGTAAAATTGGTATAGAGATTTTACTTTGTAATTTTTGAAGTATACAGTATTATCCCTATATCCAGGCTTCTATTATTATTATAACATATTTTTCAAGAGTGAGAAATAACATAAGGAGCCAGTTGCTTTTTTTTCCTCTTTCTTCCAGATTGCTTTAAATGTTTCAGGAAAAGGTGATAGTTTGGCATCATGGGATGGTATTTTAGACCTGCCAGAACAGAACACTATTCACAAAGATTGTCTGGAGTTCATTGGTAAGTTTAATAATTGTTTTCAAATAGTGATAAATTCTGCAAATAATAACTTTTGGATGGAGGAGTCACTGTTTAGTAGAATGAACTTGTTATAATTGGGGATTTGTTGAATTTGGAATATATTGAAAGGGCATAGTTTTAGAACATCTCTTTGGAAATTCGTATGAACTAATGTCAACATTTAAGAAAGGGAGTCTGATTTTTAGTATTTTTAAATTGTTTTTTGTGTTATTGACGATCTGTATGATTGTATACAGCCCTCAGATTAAAAGGAGCTGTTCCGAAGTTTCTCTGTGAGTCATAAGTCATGATCTGCTCTAGAAAAGCTGTTACAGATCATGGATGAATAGGTTTCAAATCCCCCACACTGTCTTTTGAAGATTAAATTATTTTGGTTTATATTTCTCTTTTTTAATTCATCTATAGTCCATTGGTGTCTTTTTGTTTCTCTGTCATTTTTTAGTTAGATTATTGACTAAATAGACTTTTTTATGGGCTAACCTCAACAGAAACATTATTGCTAGGCGAAGGATAGGGAATTTGGTGATGGAGAATGAATCACTTTCCCTCCCTTCAACAAAGCCATAGTGGCCGCTGCCCGTCCTGGGGTAGAGGATAATCCTTATAATCTGTTATTTGGAAAACGCTTTTTTGCTTTCCAGGAATGTGGGTGATGCCTCCTTTCTTGCTTCACATTGTGCATTCTTTTATACACAACCCCCCCCCCACACACACCCCTCTTCCCTGGTGGTTCAGATGGTAATCGCCTGCAATGCAGGAGACCCAGGTTCTATCCTTGGGTCAGGAAGATCCCTTGAGGAAGGGAATGGCTACTCATCCCAGTATTCTTGGCTGGAGAATCCCATAGACATAGAAACCTGGTGGGCTACAGTCCATAGGTCGCATAGAGTCGGACATGACTGAGTGACTAACACTTTCACTTTTCACTACTTTCATGTACACACACATATGGTGTATACATATATGAAACATACATGTAGGTCCAGTATTAGGCTAATAAATCCTGAATTGCTAGTGAATATGAATAGGTATAAGGAAAAATATACTTTTATGTAGTTTTATTTTTTCCTTGACATGCTCTAAATGCAGTAAGATCATATCATATATTTTGTAAGCAAGTATTTTGTCCAATAACTGAGTGTCTAGCAGCCCTTTGCTAATTTTGACTCTTATTTTTTAGATCAACTTTCAGTGCCAGAAGAGAAGGCAGCACAATTACTTTTGGATATTGAATCTGTAATTACCTTTTATTGTAAATCCCGTAACATTAAGTATAGCTCAACCCTTAGCTGGATACATCTCCTCAAACCATTGGTGCATCTTCAGCTGCCACGCAGCGATTTATACAACTGCTTTTATGCGATCATGAATAAGTACATTCCCAGGTAAGACATGATTTTTTATTATAGCTGTAAAATGAAGGAAGTTCTAGTTTGTTTTCAAGTAAAGTTGTTAGATTTATTTTGATGGTAAAGTAAAAGGTTCAAGTAATTTTTAAGGTTGTTTGAATCATAGTTGTTATTTGACTTTATTTTTGTGGTTATAAATATTTTTTAAAGGCTTTTTTAGTTAAGAATTTGTGCTTCTAGAGTTTATGTGTGCAGTATAACTTTTCATACTTTTTGGATGATATCTCTATCTAGATTTCTTTACTTATAAAAATAACATTACAGTGTCTAAGTAAAAGTTTTGGAGTGCCCCTGTCTTCAGTGAGGTGCTGGGATTACAGCCTGGAATATAGTCCTAGAAATACAGATGTTGAAGAAGTAATTGGAAGTGCCCTGGGTGTTAGGAAGGTGAAATACAGAGTGCTGTGGGAATGTACAGTGGGGGTGACCTGACTCAGCCTGGCGGTCCGGAAGGTCTTCTCTGGGAAAGTGACACTTAAATTGAGTCTAGACAGATGTGTGGGTTGTTTTGGGGGGATGGAAGAGGTGCGGGGAAGAAGGGAGGTGGGTAGGAGGAGGGGTGGAATTCAGAAAGAATTCTTGTAGTTCTCAGGTATGGATTAGGTAGTCAGAATTTTAGTGCCAAAAGGCACTTTTGACATAATCTAGAGCAGTGGTTGGGCTGCGCAGTGAACCTCGGATACACATTGGAGTCATTGGAAGTGAAGTGAAGTCTCTCAGTCATGTCCAACTCTTCGGACCCCATGGACTGCAGCCTACCAGGCTCCTCCGTCCGTGGGATTCTCCAGGCAAGAGTACTGGAGAGTCATTGGGGGTGGGGTTAAAAAATCCTGATGCCCTTTTACATACCTGACTAATTAAGTCAGGTCTCTGAAGGGGCCAGCCATGCATTGATGTTTGTTTAGATTTAGAGCTTCTTGGTTGATTGCAGTATGCACCTAAGGTAAGAGGACTGCTATTCTAGAGCTTGATAGTTAAATGACTACCATTTTTTCCCCTGCTTTTCGTGTGAAAAGCACTATGTTAGCTGTGGGTGCTTTTTGTATTTTCTCACTTAAACAGTGACCACTGTAAGGTAGATATCTCTGATTTACAACTACAGAAACTGAAGCAAAGACAGACTTGAAATGACTTATTCAGCATTATACTTCTGGTGTATGACTAAGTCAGGATTTGAACCTAAGTTTGATTAGACACTTGTGCTTTAACTTACAAGTTTCTCGATCCTGGTTGCTTATTAGAATCAATTAAACAACTTTTGTTTTGTTTTCGTTTTCTTTTTCTTTTACAGTTTTAGATATCATTCACATAATATAAAATTCATCCTTTTAATATGTACAATTCCATGGCTTTTAGTATAGTCACAGAATTGTGCAGCCATAGCTATAATCCTTTTTAGAATGTTTCTGTCACCCCCATAAGAAACCCTGAACTCAATAGCAGTCAACTCCACTTCCCCCCAGCACTCTCAGCCCTAGGCAGCCACTCATCTTTCTCTGTGGATTTGCCTATTTTGGGTATTTCATATAAATAGAGCCTTATAATATGTGGTCTTTTGTGACTACCTTTGTTCACTTAGCATTGTCTTTTAAAGATTCATCTGTACGTATTACAGCATATATTAATACCATTACTTTTATTTCTTTTTATTGCTGAGTAACATTTCATTGTATGTACAATGAAATAAAATAGCACATTGTATTTACTCATGTAATAGTTGCTGGACGTTTGGATTGTTTTCACTTTTTGACTGTTATGAATAATGCAACTATGAACATTTTTGTACAAATATTTGTGTGGACATTGCTTTGGGATATGTACCTAGGAGTGGGATTGTTGGATCATGTGGTAAATCTAGGTTTAACTTTTTGAGGAATTGCCAGACTTTTCCACAATTGCAGCATTTTACAATCCCACCAGCAGTGAATAAAAAGATCCCAGTTTCTATAGATTCTTGCCAACATTTTTTTTTAAAATTATGGCCAGACAGTGTGAAGTGGTATCTCATTATGGTTTCTGTTTGCATTTCTCTGATAGCTAATGATTTTGAGCATTTTTTTTTCATGTGCCTAGATGCAGTTTGTATGTCCTCTTTGGAGAAATGTCTGTTCAGCCAAAGAACTTTTAAAACATACTGACCCTTGATGTTTCAAATATAAGTAGACTGTGTAGAGCCATGTCGATTTTTAAATTCCCAGGCAATTCTAATACATACCAGAGTGGAGAACCTTGGTGTGACCTTGAAGCAATAGGGCTTCATGTAAGAAAAGCAGACCTAGAGATGCCAGAATACAGGGCTATGCTCATGGTAAAGCAGAGGCTAGAATTCACATTTGGGAGTCATTCTGTTATACTAATGGAGGAGGAAATGGCAGCCCACTCCAGTATTCCTGTTGGGAAAATCCCATGGACAGAGGAGCCTGGTGGGCTGCAGTCCATAGGGTTGCAAAGAGTCAGACTTGCCTGAGCGACTGTGTTATACTAAGTCTCCCAACTGCTTATATTTTTACCCCTTCTCAGTGTAACAGAACTAGTGATAGCAAGGGACATGATATTCCAGCTCTGTCTCTGCAGGATGGTGGCGCTGGTTGTCACTAGTGGGCTACATTGTAGAGGTTTACTAGTAGACGCTTACCTTGGGCTGTGTAGCATACTTTGTCAGGTGATTCCAGTTACTGTTTCCATGAATGCCACGTGTAACACAGTACCCCAGCCAGAGGCAGTGTTAATACCCCTGCACAGGGCCCCGCCCCACAGAGGTTGCTCGAACAACCCCACGATAGTATCTTATTAGAGAGTCAGGTGTAACGTGAGTGGAGTTCTGTCAAGCACAGTGCTCTGCAGTGGAGAGTAGCTTGCAGTGCACGGCTGTTAAATGAACAGATGCTGCTGCAGTGGCTGATCCCCTGAGACGTCCCACTTCTTCCGAGGATGAGACCCACAGCCTAGGCAACTGTCCTTACTCTGTGTGTCCCTAGTCTTCCGACCACTGTCTCTGTGTTCTGTTCTAGCCATCTTCTCCCTAGCCTTTATAGAGTGGGGAGAGTGTTCAGATAAAGGAGGAGGTGGTCTTGTCAGTATGAATCCAGTTCTGTCTTTGGGCATCTGAATTAGCAAGTTAGGGCTTTTTCTACAAAACTTCCTGTTACCTGCAGTATTAAAAATGGTAGATGAATGGTCATACCAAATCCTGGCATTGACCCTAGATCTTAGTTTTGCAGAGATTATTTTTCATTATTCCCACTTGAATAGCATTTTGAAACATTCTTTATCAGTGCTTTTCATTAATGTTTTTACGTGAAATCTTTCACCTTACTTCAGCTTTTTTTTACAGTTCGCTTTTTAAAGACTACGTCTACCAAAATACCACTAGTTCAGATATTACATTACATATATGGAAGGGAGCATATGGTAAAATGGCCTAATGCGCAGTCTCTGTGTGCAAGCCTTAGTGCTGTCACTTCCTAGCTACGTGACCTTGGTTGAGTTGCTTGACCACAGCGAAGCCTCAGTTTTCTCATTTGTAAATTGAGGGTAATAATAGTACCTTTCATAGAGTTGCTTGTGAAGATAAAATGAGATAACGTTGTAAACAGTCTATTGTAGTGTCTGGCACATGATGTTTCCTCAGTGAATATTGACTTTTATTAAGATGGCCTGCAATTTGAGCTGTGTACACTTTTGATGATTTATTAGATTTATTAGACACCAGGGAACAAGGCAAGAAGTAGTATAGTTACTCAGTAAGGTCAGTGTTCGGCACCTCCTGGGATTTTCTCTGAGCTTCTGGTACTCAGGCCACTTCAGTCACGGCTCTGGGTCCACTCTTGGAATGTTCGTCTGTGGCCATTTCAGACTCGGACCTTTGCTGAAGGATTCCTAATTGAGTACGTTAACTATGGAGCTAACCTGCAGCCTTCCTGGGAGATCTTTCTTATTTGGCAGAAAAAGACGGGAGCTGGACTTCCTCGGGGCTCTCCAGATCTCCCTTTGGGATCCACAGCTTATCAAAACAAGCTGAGTGGTCCCTGTCTTCATTGGTCCCTGTAGTCCTTTCTCCTGAGCGCTGCCTGGGTTCACCTAGAGAGAATCTTCCTGGAGTTGGCTGTAGGCGTGCCCTTTCTTCCTGTCAGGTCTGGTATGTTAGGTGTAAGCGAGAGCGGTCTGGCCCGCTTGTGTCAGCTCGGCTTGCCGCCACGCCCTTGGTTCGGATGTTCTGGGGGGAGGAGGGGAGGAGGGGAGGAGGGTGTTGCACGAGCACTGGTTACTGATGCGATCATTTCTGACCCATTAATGCAAGAAACTTTGCTTCTCTTGTCTTTTAGGGATTGTTCCCTGAAGGGGAGACCATTTCATCTTTTCCGGTTACTCATCCAATACCATGAGCCTGAGCTTTGTTCTTTTCTTGATACAAAGAAAATTACTCCAGACTCCTATGCACTCAACTGGGTAATAAAGTGAAAGTAGGAACACTTAATGAAAAATAGCTTTCTGTGAAACTATAGTTAGTCCTCCCCCCAAAGAAAAAGAAAAGTGCTAAATTATAGACCATTATTATTTAAGGCAAAGAATTAAAATTTTTAGCACTTCAAAGATTTTTTTTTTTTGCTCTTCCTTTAGTTTAAATTATTTAATATGAAGTTTAGCCTTTGTTGTTTTAGAAATGTATGTAAATATGTATATGGTATGTATTGGTTCACTTTAAAACCATGTGATTAAATTGTTGATAGTGTGTTTGAGAATTGATCTACAGTCACAAAGAAAATAACTTAAGATTATCAAATGATTGATATAAAAAAAAATACATCTCAGTACTCTGTCATTCTATATTTATATTTTAAATGGTAAGTTTTATTATTTTAGGTCTGTGGTTCTCAAGCCTTTTGGTCTCAGGGCGTCTTACACTCAACATTTTTTGAGGATCCATAATTCATGTGGATCACATTGGTTAGAAATTAAGAAATTTTAGGTAGTCGTTTAAAAGTAGTGATAAATCCAATCCATGTTAACGTAAATATTTTAAATGAAAATGAACTATTTCCCAAAAAGAAAGAATAGTGGCATTTTTAAATTTGCAAATCTCATTGATGTTTGGTTAGATCACAGGCCACTTTTGCATTCTCATATCTGTCTCTTTATTCAGCCCGTGATGATACCATATTTCGTGTAGCCTTTGGCAAATTCTGTTGTTCATTTGTGAGAGAATGAGTATGAAAAGGGCAGAATCTGAGTATTAGTATGAAAACAGCTTTGGTCTCACAAAGGCCCCTGTAAATACTCCTGGAGATGTCCAAGGCTCCTCAGACCACACTTTGAGAACTGCTGTTATCGGGTAGCTTGAAGATCTTTTTAAAACAGCGTTTAGGTTCCAGAAGAAAATATACGTATATTCAAGAATTTTAACATGTTTCTTGATGATGTCTTACCTGACTTTTCTTCAGAAAGGATTCCATTTCTGCCATTTATTAACTGCGTTATTTAATACACTTAGCCTCTGAACTTTGATTTCTTCATCTGTAAAATGGGACTAATAATAGGATCTCTCTCAGAGGGTGATGGGATGAGGACTCAATCGGGAGATGCTGGCTGGAGACCCTGACTGGTTTCAGCTCTGGCATACTAAACCTCAGGCTGCAGCCGCCTGCTCTTCCCTTCCTTCATGGCTTCAGTCTTGTCACTTTGAGTAAAAATAATAAAATTGTAGGTTCTCTGAGATTCATATGTTGCTATTAAATCTACTTATTTGTATCGAAGGAAGAAGTTTTCTTTTAAGAATTTGAATATTTTCCCAGACGTCTTTCTGGTCACATCATGCCTGAGAAATGCCATTTCTGTGGCCAGAACTCTGGGTTAGTACTCAGTGCTGGTTGTAGATTTTAACTGGTTTTGGAAGCAACCAGTTTCTCTCTGTCAGTTTCCCAAGTAGTTCATTCTTGCTGCCAGTATCTTGTCTGTGGAATGGAGTCTTTCTTTTCCAGTCATGAGATAAAGCAAAACCAGTTCCTGTGATTTGAGAACTCATCTCTGAGGATGATGCGGAGGTAGCTTTAGTTTGGCTCAGTGCGGTCAATGTTGACCGTACCTTGTCTGTCTGTATTTGCATCTTCCTGATTTCTAATAGTAAATTTTAAACAACTACAAAAAACATTAGAAGCATTATGTATTGTACTTTAAAAGTTTTGTGGTCAACTGTAACAGCAGTTACATCAGCTGTGGAGTCTCAGGCCTTTTTTTTTAGTCCAAGTATCACCACTCACGAGCTCTGTGATGTTAGGAAGGTTATTTCATACAGGTTTATTTTCCTACCTATAATACAGGGAGGAAAAGGTCTACTTTGAAAGCCTGTCATGAGAATATTTAAAATAAGAGACATTTAATGAAAGATGTGTGGCGGTAATTTAGTACCTGGCACAAAGTAGTCACTAAATATATGTGTTCTTGTTAGCTTCCTTTATTCATTAAAAATGTTTTAAATTTAAACCTCTAGATGGAATTGTTTCTGTATCTAAGAAAAATGGAATAATCTAAAAATATCCCTAAATTCATGAATTTAAAACACAGTTGGGCCCTAGAGAAGATACGTTAACAATTCTTTAATTGACATAGAAAACCATAGAGCTCTTGAAACGTTTTGCAGGACATCACTGTTGTCTCATTTGTTTCAAATTATGTACAAGTAAGCTTGGGGCACCGTTGGCCTTTGAATTGTTAGAATTTCATTTGGTGCTCTTAACTGAAATTACCATGCTTGACCTTCACAATTACTTAGTGAGTTAAGTACTATAGTAGTTACCTTATAGAGCTCATCGGTAATGATGCTAGTTATTATGCTGTGGCAGATAGGTGCTAACTTAAGTTACTTTAGATATTAAGGGTTAGTTATCTTTCTCTTCACCACAACAGTGGTAGAGCATGGGTAATAATACTTTAAAAAAAAAAAGAAGTAGAAATGTAAAGCTCGTGAGGTTAAGTGACACGCCCTAAGGCACACAGCTAGTCAGGGGCTTCATTGTGCCTTGAATCCACATAGTCTTTCCTTTGGATTACATACAGTAAAATTAAGGTCCACGTTAAATATCAGGTACGGACAGTTTGTTATAATGTTACTTAGGCATTTGCCTTAATACTTTAAAAAGAGTAAGTCATTTCCAGTGGTTTATATTTCTCATTTCATTTCCTGATTACAGCTTGGGAGCCTTTTTGCCTGTTACTGTTCCACTGAAGTCACGCAGACAATATGGGATGGATATCTACAACAGGCAGATCCATTTTTTATTTATTTCTTAATGTTAATAATCCTTGTTAATGCAAAGTAAGTATCAAGTTGCCTGGCTTTTTCTCCTCTCTGTTCTCAGGGTGCTCTCTTAATATTTAACTCAAATTCATGTGATTCTCTTTTACAGAGAAGTCATTTTAGGGCAGGAGTCTGACAGCAAAGAAGAAGTTATCCGTAAGTATCACTTAATGTGGAGAAGACATTTTTCAAGTCACTTAATTTTCTAAAACTCAAGTTTTCTCATCTGTTATGTGAATTTAGAAGATTAGTCTAGAAGAGCTCAGAGGTTCTTTTTAGATCTTACTCACTGTCCACATACAGGCCTTAAAGATGGTCTCCCCTGACTTGCTGCCCTCATTCATCCCTGCATGTTTTTTTCACTCATTCAGTTCTCTTCTGTTATTTCTTTGATTTCAATGTTTAAATAAACTGGTCTCTCTCTCTCTCCCTTTCCCTTCTTTCCTTAATTTTCCTTTGAATACCCAACTCTTGTAAGTATCTCCATTGTTGAAATGTTGATCCTCCTTTTGGGTTCTCCCCACTCCAGCCCGCACAGATTTAGTTGAAGTTCCTTAAGAAATAACCATTTCTTGGTTATTTTTTATTTGTAGGGGCCCTTGCATTTGTGTTTGTTAAGTAAATCACAGTATTCCAATCAAGGTTAATGAATTTGATTTGATTGCCAGACACCATCAGTCACTAATAGCAGGATTATATTTAGAGTTTCAGCTCCTCTGGGGAAAATCCACATCTCTTCAAGCAGTTTTCTGTGCATCATTGTTGAAATTCCATTTATAAAACTATAATGTTGAAGATAAACCAACTTTGATCTATAAATAATGTTTATTGTTGTATACTTTACAAGCAAAATTTTTTGAAAATATTATTTAATTTATTTATAATCCTATTTCAGAGTTCTTGGAAAATACTCCATCCAGTTTGAATCTAGAAGATATAGAAGACCTTTTCTCTCTGGCTCAATATTATTGCAGTAAAACACCAGCTTCATTTAGGAAGGTATTGGACAGGAAATGACCTACTTCAGTATTTCACATTTTGTGCATTGTTTTATGTTTATGTTGTATCCACTTCAGTTAAAATACTCTAGGTTGTCATTCTTTCTACGTATTACAGTTTTGTGTGATTTTTTCCACTATAAATATTCTCCCTCGTAGAGGAATAGACATTTTAAAAAGATAGTATATACAAATATGCTAGGAGCCATTTTACCTTTCCTCTGATTATTATTTCTGATCATGAGAAAATTGACTATAAGGTATTTTTTAAATTAATGCTTCCTTGACTTCAAAAATTGTGTTACAGAAATCTGATTGAGGAGGTATCATTATGCCTTCTTTATCTGGAGTTAAAGTTAAAACTCCAACTTTTAATGATGCTGAGCTCTCTTTTACACAAGAAAAGGGTCACTTAAGCTCCATGGAGACCTTGAAACTTCCTCAGATCAGTCAAGTGCTTTCAAGAGAAATGACATCAGATTAGAAGTCCAAGTGCTGTGAACTTCTAGAAACTAAAACTCTATCGATTCTAAAGCTAGTAATGGAGGAGGCACGGAAGTACCATTTATAAACAATTTGTGACCTCAAGTGCTCATGAGAACATTATTGTCTTGTTTTGATTTTTAAGGCATTCTGTAATCATGATTGTTAGTTGAAAGTTATCATGTTCCTGAAAGATTAAGATGAGGTTAAATTATGTTCAGTATAGTGTGTCCAGGAGGCAGATGATGGAAACTTTTTAAGAACATTTCCCTCAAAACTAATTATAAAAGAGATTTGTTTTTCAGGACTAATTTCAGTTATTTTAATAATTGCCTTATATAGATTACCTCAGTTCCAAACAATGTTGACTAAGTTAGATGGCGAGATAGTGGTTATGATACTAGATGAAAAAGAAGTCTTATCCTTTACTTTCCAGCCTTTTAAGAGAATAGTTTTTATTCTTCAGGCATAGTAAATAAACTGCACTAGCAGTTGCTAATTAGAGCAGGTTTTACTAGCAGCATATTACATAATTTATGCCATATTTCAATTTTTATTCAATATTAAAGTGTAAAATGTTGTAACCATTTTAAAATTTGCTGTTTAAATGTATGTGATAGTATAGAAAATAGCTGTGTAGAATGTGTTATTTTTTTCTTAGTCTTTCATTTTGTGTGAACTCAAACAAGGGCTTTGTATGTACCATTTTTGTAGCTTTTTGCCTAGAAGATTTGATACAATAAGTTAAGTCACATGACTCAAAGATGTTATATAATTATTTTATCTTTTATCTTGGTCTGCTGAGAATTGTTTTAGGAGGGAGGTTTGATTTTATTTTTTTTCTTCATAAAGTTTTAAAAATTCCTCTTCACACAGGATAATCACCATCTGTTTGGCAGTACTTTGTTGGGAATTAAGGATGACGATGCAGATCTGAGTCAGGCTCTTTGCCTGGCCATCTCAGTGTCAGAGATCCTTCAAGCAAATCAGCTTCAAGGGGTAAATTAAAAAAGCCTACTGTTCGTTACAGGATGATCCCCTTAAATGCAGGGAATCAGTGTCTCCTCCCTGCTTGTTGGTTGTCACGAAATTCTTTTATTATAACAATGTAGTTGTTTTGCTTTTTTTGAATGATTAATGTGTTAAATCTTCTGTCCCTATGCTTATTTTTAAACTGCCAGCTTGTCTGTTATTTTATTTGTCAAGCAGCTAATTATTTTTGACACCAGTTTTTGTAAATTGCCAAATTGCCTTTCATGTTTTAACAGGGCGACTGAATGTTAGATAAAGTACTTGAAAGGGTGAATTTACTATTTCATAGTTAAATTCTAGACACTTATATTGATAATTGAATTACATGGTTTAATGCCAAAAGGCATTTACAAAGGAGAATTGAGGATATACCATAATTTTTTCTCTATTGTATTTATGAAAATCTGATGAGCCAGTTTTTTCAATATAAGTTCTTTATTTCTAATAGTGCAGCAGTTAATTATGTGTGTATATATGAAAGGTGGGATGTATTTCAAAGATGGAGAGAAGAGGAAAGAACATGGGAAGATAGGCCTTTTACAATAGATATTTTTAAAACAAGAGTTTTGTGTGGTTTTCTCATTAGAACCATTATTTTAAAAAAAACTTGTAATCCAGTTTAAAGAGACCCGTGTGAACGTCTCCAGTTCAGATTGGCATTGGAGAGGCTGCTGTCACCCCAGAAGACATTTATTTAATCCTTATGTGAATTGCATTGTTGATAAGTTTGTGGGCTTGTTTTCAGAAATAGGAATTGTATCTACATCTGTGTTTATGTATAGTGTTTTTGAAAGTGTTTAACATGATGCACATTAAGTTAGTAAATTCAAGTTAGTTTTATAGCCCAAGCTAACATTCTTCCTGCTATATATTTTAAGACTTTTTATCAAGGATAGTATATACAAACTGTTTTAACTACTGTTTAAAATGAATACAACTCTTTTAAGATGTTGAGGATATTTTCTTGAGTCTGTACGGTATGGGACTTCCTAACTATATGTGAGATCCATTTTTTAATCCATTTGTTCCCCCCCTTTTGGTTAATCATCAGTATTATACTGTGTAAAATGTGCTGCTCCTGGCAAATTTTATTGAGTCAAATGTTTCCCTTTTAGGAAGGAGTCCGGTTCTTTGTGGTGGACTGCCGCCCTGCAGAGCAGTATAATGCTGGGCATTTATCGACTGCTTTCCATCTTGACTCAGATCTGGTTAGTACAGATGTGATTCAACACTTAAAAAATAAGGGGAAGTGGGTTTTTTCCTTTAATCCATGAATAAATATACGTGTACCAGATTTGGGGATGCTTTTCTTTCTGCTTAAAGAGGGAGTCTCTGCCCTTATTCAGGTGTTGCTCTCAGGTTTCCTTTTAACCGCGGACACCCCCTTGGCATCATAAAGGGTGGATGAGAGCCCTGTTAGGCATGGCTTACTGTTGCTTGCCATTGTTATGTCAGTAGATTCTAAACTTCTTACTGTGAGCTGCCTCGTGCAGCACTCAGCACAGTGCCTTGCACTTAGTAAGTACTCTGTGAATATTAGCTCTTGCTATGATTGGGTAGTTAGTCCAAAAGTTTTTACTGTAAGCCTCCTTCTATCATGAGTACTTGTGCATATAATAAAGTAATATGTAATAAGGGTAGTCTCTGGCATATAGGGCCTCAGTTGTTAAAGTTACTGTCCTAGGATCACTTGGATTGAAGGAATAGATGAAGTAGATAATTATTGTCAGAGATGCTAAGAGCATTTGGTAAGACTGGGACTGACATCATTTAAGCTCTTCTGGAGTTTTTAGAGCCTCAGGAATGGGGAGGACAGTAAGAGGAGTAATTTTGTCCCTAACTTATCTGAAAAAAAAAAAAAAAAAAGTTGACGCTGAGGTTGAAAGGGCACGTGGAAGGGTCTCAGTGGCGTCAGGAGGAAGCTCCTGGAAAATGGAGGTAAAACAACCCAGAGAGTTTGGGGTGCTATAGGTGAAGAAGGTGATTCTAGCTTGTGTGCATCCTGAATGTAAATTCTGTGCCTTTCTCATCCTTCTTTCATCTTGGAGGACTTAGATGTGTTGTTGTTTAGTTGCTAAGTCATGTCCGACTCTTTTGTGACCCCATGGACTATAACCTGCCAGGCTTATCCTTCCCTGGGATTTCCCAGGCAAGAATGCTGGAGCCGGTTGTCATTTCCTTCTCCAAGGAATCTTCCCTACCCAGAAGTCAAACCCATGTCTCCTGCTTGGCAGACAGGCGTTTTACCTCTGAGCTACCTGGGAAGCCCTGGAGGACCTAGGGTCCATCTTTTATGCTTATTATTCAAGTCATTTGTGAATAACTTTGATTATTCTTAAAAAGCTCAGGGAGTATCTCAAGCGTTAACAATTATTGTCAGCTTGTTTAATCATCCAGACCTTTAACATATATTTACATATTTCTTATTCACTTTTTTTTGTCCACTTGATTTTTCACTTAACAGTTTCTTAGGAGATTTTTTCATTTTAGTACATTCCTTTTAATGGCTGGCTGTATGGCAGTCCATGATACAGATATACCACAGTTTATCACCTGACTGATGTACATTTAGAATGTTTTCAGTTTTCTTGTAATAAAACAATGCTGTAGTTAACATGTAGTTAATGTAGTTAACATTTGTGGACTTGTGCAAATATTTCTGTAAAATACACTCCCTAAGAGTAAAATTATTGGGGTAAGAGTTATAGAATATAGACTATAGAATGTGGGCATACAGAATGTGGGTATATAGAATTGTTACTAGAGTCTGCCATATTGCCCTTTTAAAGAAGCTGTAGCAACTTATACTTTACAACTGTAAGTGAGAATGATTATTTTATACGTAAGCATTATTGGACATCACTACTTTTCTATCTTACAAGAGTGGTGGGTGGAAAACAGTGGTCATTACTAGTGATGTTGCACATATGTTTTTGAGTGTGCTGTTAATTTGTATATTTTTTATTATAAAGTGCTTTTCTGTGGTTTGTCCATTTTTCTTTTGGATTTTCACTGTGCTTTTTATTAAAACAGTTTTAACAAATTTTTGTATTTATTGGCAAGCTTATTTTCTTGAGGGTAAGAAATGAATTTTTTCATCATCATATCTCTAGTACCTAGAATAAGTTCTGATAAATGCTTCCACTATTTCTAACTGTCCTCTGAGAAATAACATGGTTTGCCACGTAAAAACTGTCCTCTGAGAAATAACATGATTTGCCACGTAAGTAGAGACTAAAAAATATAGCTTGTTTCAATGAATTGTTTTTGTCACGGACCCTTCCACTCATTGTTAAACTTTTCTTGTCATGATACCCTAAAGACACTGAAACTTATAAAACAAACAGCAAAGCCATTTTTTTCCTTTTTTTTTTTTTTTGGCATAATTTAATCTTTCCATGAATTGGCAGCTTTTGTTTTCTGATGTATTATAGATACATTTATACACATTTCTTTTATCTGGGGATTTTATTTATAAGAGCCTTTATTTTGGTAATTCCCTGGCTATTCAGTGGTTAAGACTTAAGAGCTTTCACTGCCTGGGTTCAGTCTCTGGTCAGGTAACTAAGATCCCACAAGCTGTGTAGCGTGGCCAAAAAAAAAAGCCCTTTTTTTTTTTTTAAATGGTGGGAATATAAACATTGTTCCCTCCCCAGCCCCCTGGGAAAATATTTCAAGTTTTGCAGATGTATAAAAAACACAAGCTTGCCATAGTAAATTTTTTTTAATTGTCCAGATGCTCCAGAATCCATCCGAGTTTGCACAGTCTGTGAAATCCCTGCTGGAGGCACAGAAGCAGTCCATTGAGTCTGGCTCCATCGCTGGTGGGGAGCACCTCTGTTTCATGGGCAGTGGCAGAGAGGAAGAAGACATGTATATGAACATGGTCCTTGCGCACTTTTTACAGGTATGCTGACAGGTTACTTCAGTTTTTCCTTGGTTTTTGCTGTCACCTTTAAGAAATTCTCCTAGACAATTTTGTGCTGTTGTCTACCTTGTTAAATTTATCTTTTTTTTTTAAACACTTTATTGGTTTTGTGTCTTGCCAAGAAGTCTTCTCCCTCATTTTTTTCTCACATGCTTTTATGATTTATTTTTTATATTTAAATCTTCTGGACCATCTAGAATTATTTTTCTGTAAGAAATGAGGTAGGAATAAAAAAGGAAATTCCCCAAATAGCTAACCAGTTGTGCTATCAATTTGAAATACCACCTCTTTAATAGACTGAATTCTTCAATGCGTCAGGGTCCATTTCTGGATTATTCTTTTGTTTGTTCTCTGTGCCTATTCATGCCTTAATACTTTTTACAGTTGCTATATAATTCATTTTAATATCTTCACTTTGAAATCGAATAAATATACATGTACATGTCTACACTTAACCAACTTTCCTTTTTGTGTTTCAATGTTGTCTTTAGCACAACTAATTTGTATCACTGATTTCATGCACCCTGTCCATCTACCTTTTATACAAAGCCTCCCTCAGTGACAGCTCTTTCTTTATAAAAATAGTTGTTTATTAGTTATTCCTTGGAGTTTGTATATTAAAGTCCTCATTTTGGGTGACCCTGAACTATGGCATCAGGAAGACAGGAGACACGGGCCACTCAATTTGTATCCACTTCAGTGGGAATCTCGTTTGAGAAAATTAGTCGAAAGGACAACCCTTGAAACACAAAATCAGAAAGGGAACAAAGTATTTGGGAGAGGGATTATAAGATAATTTTATGCTTTACTGGAGTAAAGATATTTTAGTACTTTAAACAGAATAACAGAAATAGGGACTCAAATTCATTTTTCTTATAAGTTTAATTGATCTGTTCTAAAAATGCTCTGAAACAAGCTATGTATTACAAAGGGTGTCAGATGACAAGAATTTGGAATATTGTGGACTTCTTTTAATAATTTGATTCTTGATGTGGTTTTAGAAATCCCTCCCCCTCCCCAATTTTTAATGTGGAAAATTTCAAACAAATTCAAAAGTAGGGAGAATTCAATTGTAAATTCTTTGTAAAGATATAATCACATTATAACTATTACACTTGATTATAAAAAATCTAATGAGTATTCAAGTTTCCTAATTTTCTCAATATCTAAAATGACATTGCACTTGGTTAATATCTTTTACGTCTCTTTTTATTGGTTCTGTTTCCGATTTTTTTTTCCTTACATATATATCTTTGGAAAAACTGGTTACTTTGTCTTATAGTTTCCCACAATCTGGATTTTACTGATGGCATTCACACTGTGTTGTTTATCAGGTTCTATCCCTGGTGTTTCCTGTAAGCTAGTGAGTAGACCTAGAGTCTTGTTAGATGACTTTTGAAGGTGGGGCGACAGGAAGTCTTGGATAGTGTGTACTTCCTCAGGCAGTAAATACTGCCCAGATACCTTTCTTGTGTCTTTTATCATTACTTAGATTCATTACTTTTTAATAGTTTGTAAAATGTTGACATTCTGTCATTTCTTCATAATTAGCTGTTACTTGCTTTTGTATTTCCTTTTTAATAAAGAACCCAAAATATTTTTGAAAGCTTTTAAGCCATTTTCATTAGATCTGAACATACAGTGTAGCTGATTTTGGTTTGACTTCTTGCACCGCTGGGACTGTAGTACAGTCTCCTTAGTAGCACGAAGTTGTCCCCTTGTTCCTCTGTAGGCACCAGATCTTACAGTATACAAGGTAAATGTGTGTACTTCTCCGTGCCGAAGTCTAAAATGTAAAAAAATATCCAGAAGTTTAGTATATAACCTTTTATTACATTTGTCAATGCTTATAGAACTATAAGAAATTTTAATTGAGTTGCATTTTGAAGTAATTTAAATTTTATTTTCCACTTTAGAAAAACAAAGAATACGTGAGCATTGCCAGTGGAGGATTTATGGGTAAGATTTTAATTTATTAATTCCTTTGACCCTACTTTTCAGAGGAAATTATATGATCACTGGAGCTGATTTGGAGTAACCAAATTAGTTATTGGGTACACTTTCTTTTCAGTCATTCACTGTTTTCAGAAAAGGCAAGGCCAGCAGGACAGATAGATAAAGACAAATATAGCAGGCAATTGCAATGAGGGAATATTCAGAAGACTGTTAAAATGGATGTCTTGTGCTGTGCTTAGTCGTGTCCAACTCTTTGCAGCCCCCATGGACTGTCGCCCACCAGGCTCCTCTGTCCATGGGATTCTCCAGGCAAGATTACTGGAGTGGGTTGCCATGCCCTCCTCCAGGGGATCTTCCCAAGCCAGGGAGCCAACCCAGGTCTCCTGCATTGCAGGTGGATTCTTTACTGTCTGAGCCACCAGCTTGTATTTACAAATACAAGCCCCAATTAGCTTGAATTTGTAAAAAATATTTTTGTAAAGATGAGTGAAAAACTGCCCACATTATTTGTTTTTATGGAGAAGGAGGGGTAGTTAAGACTGGGAGACAAGAGTAGGAGGGGTATTTTTCACTGTAAACTCTTCTTACAGTTTGCTTTTTTGTTTTGTTCTCATTTTTTAATTACTTGAAAGTATTAGCTGATGGAAAAACGTTGACTGAATGGAATAAGAAATAAGCTGTTGTTTTCAACTGCAGATAATCTGGTAATTCAGGATAGAAAAATGACAGAATCGCTACAGCAAATATTTGAGAATTTATGAAGGAGTAGGTCAGGGTAGTAAGAGTCTAAATAGACACTGTCTTTTTTTTTTTTTTTTAAACAAATTCTGTTACTTAAGGGTACAGACTTGCAACTAGTAGGTAAATAAGTCCTGGAGTGCTTCATGCATAATATAGTGAATGTGGACAGCAATATTGTATTATAATCACCAAACTTGTGCAGAGAAACTAGATCTTAATTATTTGCTCCACAAAAAATGAACTGGTACTTGTGTGACATGATAGAGGTGTACCCGTTGCTACAGTATATAAATGTATCGGATCAACATTTTGTACACCTTAAACTTACACAGTGTTGTATGTCAAATATATTTTAATTAAAAGATAGAGAGCCTTTCATTAGTAAAAGAGATATAAAAATATTGAATCTGTAATTACTAGGAAAATTAATAGCAAAATCAAATTAATATTTGTTGGAGGCAGTAGAATCCTGAGTTTGAATCATAAAGTCTTATCAGGCTTAAGTTCTGCCTTAATATGATCTTATGTTATAAATTAGAAGTTTTGATAGGTTAGGGTTTATTTCAACTTGGTCTTTGCTGATATTAGCAAGAATTTTTATCTCCTATCATGGAGATACTTTGTATCATGGCCTGATAACTAACTACCTTTGAGGCTCATACCCAGAGTGATAGAAAACAAGGGCTTATTTTAATAAGTACTGGTGTTAAGCAAGTATTGTCCTAAGTCCTAGTGTTATTTATTGGAAGTTCTGACAGCATAACGCAAAACTTGGTTGTTATTCTCAAAAGTGTCTGAAAAGCATTCTTTTATATAGCACAGATAGGCTAGGTTTTAGGAAAAATTTTTTAAACTATGAATTATTTCTTTTTCAAGAACAATCTCGCTTTCCACAGCAGTTAGTGCCTAAGACTGCTTCTTTATTACTTGGAAGGATTAACTGATTCTTCTTACGGCAAACAAAAGGCATCATAGGTTTTCCATTGATCCTTCATATCATTAGAATGTTGGTAAAATTATTCATTAACACTTGAAAGATTGCCTTCCAAAGAGGAAGACATCAAACCTGTGTACGTGGTTACTGTCACCCTTAGGGCCAGTTAAGAAAAGTTATGTGTGTGTAGAGAGAGGGCTTTAGAAGGAAGAGGAGGGAAAGGAAAACTTTCTGTAGCCTGGCATCTTTTATTCTTTACAGAGGTGCTGTGAAAGAAATACCTGTGATTGTGCCCTTGGATCTTTTTTGTTCCGCTTCTGTTGTTGTTCAGTTGCTAAGTCATATCTGGCATGTTTATCATACTTCCCTAGTATTGAATCTTTCTGAGGGGGGTTTATATATCAGGATTTTTTTTTCCTTTCTCCTCTTTATCTTTAAGCACTGCAGCAGCACCTGGCAGACATCAATGTGGAGGGACCAGAAAACGGATATGGCCATTGGATTGCTAGCACCTCAGGCTCAAGGAGCAGCATCAATTCTTCTGTGGATGTAAGTGTGTATGTAGAATATGTCACCAGATTTGGATGAATGCTCAGAAAGGATATAAACATCCAAATACTCACCGTAACAGAAATGGAGTCAAAATATTTCAAACACATACACTAAAGAAGCATATTATTGTGAGGTTAATGAAATCACAGGAGCAGACCTGCATATTTAAACTAGTCAGGAGTTCTGGTGGTCTCCTTGCTGAATTCAGACTTCTCCCTCCCCAGCTGCAGCTTGGTATCACTTAGTGACAATTTTCTACTTCTGCTTCAATATCAACGGAGATAATTCTGAGTCCTGTGACTAACCTGGACTTTAAAGTGAGTTGATTCTCAGACTCTCCCAATTAGTTTGTCCCAGGAGAATAGTGAGGGTAAATCCATTCTGTTCTGCTTTGGAAATATTTGGGCAATAAGTCTTTTGTGTGTTTTCTGTATTTTGTATCATCTGCATTCAGTTCAGTTCAGTTGCTCAGTCGTGTCCGACTCTGCGAAGGCATGGATTGCAGCACGCCAGGCCACCCTGTCCATCACCAACTCCCGGACTTTGCCCAAAGTCTTGTCCATTGAGTCAGCGATGCCATCCAACCATCTCATCCTCTGTCATCACCTTCTCCTCCTGCCTTCAATCTTTCCCAGCATCAGGGTCTTTTCAAATGAGTCAGCTCTTCGTATCAGGTGGCCAGAGTATTGCAGTTTCAGCTTCAACATCAGTACCTCCAGTGAACACTCAGGAATGATTTCCTTTAGGATGAACTGGTTGGATCTCCTTGCAGTCCTAGGGACTCTCAAGAGTCTTCTCCAACACCACAGTTCAAAAGCATCAATTCTTCGGTGCTCAGCTTTCGTTATAGTCCAACTCTCACATCCATACATGACTATTGGAAAAACCATAGCCTTGACTAGACGGACCTTTGTTGGCAAAGTAATGTCTTTGCTTTTGAACATGCTGTCTAGGTTGGTCACAACTTTCCTTCCAAGGAGTAAGCGTCTTTTAATTTCATGGCTGCAGTCACCATCTGCAGTGATTTTGGAGCCCCCCAAAATAAAGTCAGCCACTGTTTCCACTGTTTGCCCATCTATTTGCCATGAAGTAATGGGACCAGATGCCATGATCTTAGTTTTCTGAATGTTGAGCTTTAAGCCAGCTTTTTCACTCTCCTCTTTCACTTTTCATCCAGAGGCTCTTTAGTTCTTCTTCACTTTCTGCCATAAGGGTGGTGTCATCTGCATATCTGAGGTTATTGATATTTCTCCTGGCAATCTTGATTCCAGCTTGTGCTTTTTCCAGCCCAGCATTTCTCATGATGTACTCTGCATATAAATTAAATAAGCAGGGTGACAATATACATACAGCCTTGACATACTCCTTTTCCTATTTGGAACCAGTCTTTTGTTCACGTCCAGTTCTAACTGTTGCTTCCTGACCTGCATACAGGTTTCTTAAGAGGCCGGTCAGATGGCCTGGTATTCCCATCTCTTAAAGAATTTTCCACAGTTTATTGTGATCCACACAATCAGAGGCTTTGGCATAGTCAATAAAGCAGAAATAGATGGTTTTTTGGAACTCTCTTGCTTTTTTGGTGATCCAGCGGATATTGGCAATTTGATCTCTGGTTCCTCTGCCTTTTCTAAATCTAGCTTGAATATCTGGAAGCTCACGGTTCACATATTGCTGAAGCCTGGCTCTGTCATTAAATTGTTTTCTTAACAAGTAATGGTCCTCATCTACCTGATGATCATTCTTTAAATCAGAAATAGAAGGAAAATTCTAGTACCATCCTGGGCTCACCAGTCAGACTTACCTGGATACTCAGGTTTTATCTCCAGAACTTATTTTCTTCATGATCTCCAGCAAGATCATTTCCATTCTGATTTCTCCATCTGTGCAGATAGGGGTGATAATACCAGAACTGTCTTCACAATAATGACATGAGGATTAAATGTGCAAGTGAATGTAAAGTGGAGTACCTCTCACTGACATATCCTTCCCTGGTGGCTCAGATAAACTTTGTAACTCATTAGATGATGAATTGAGGCTTATCTTCAGCCTTGTAAGTCAACGCATGTTATTGTCAAATTGTGGAGATAAAGCTCCTCTGAGAATTAGGTTTTCAGCATGATCTTTTAGGAATCTAAGGGCTCACCATTTATTTAATAAATATTTGCTGTTTTTGTTTTTAATATCTAAATACTATGGATATATTATAATTTGTTTTGTTAGTCCCTTATTGAATATTTACATTGCTTCCAGTCTTTTTCTGTTGTGTACACTACTATTAATTTTTGTACTAATGTTTGCATATGACATGATTATTTTGTCCTAGAAGTGAAATAACTTGATCAAAAGATTACATATCAAAACCCTTAGAATTCTGCATTATTATCAAATTGCCCTGCAAAAAACATCGTTCTAATTTATATTCCCACCCACAGCATTGGATAGTCTCTCTATTGAAGTTTTTATCTTCAGATTTGAAAAGCAATGATTGAGGCTATTAAAGAAACTCTTAAAGATGTGTTATCTTCTAAAGTACCAAAGAATTACATGGTCAGTATAATTTGGTTTTGAAGTTGGATATGAAAATGGAAACATGATTTTTATGTTATTTAATACCTTACTTGTTTTAAAAATAAAAGTAACATTTTAGTTAATGACTTACTTGTTTTAAAAGTAGAAATAATACATTTTAATGAATGATTTGTTTTAAAAATAAAAATAATACATTTCATTGTAGCATCATATGTAAATATTAAAAATATAAAGAAAGCAAAATTAATTGTTACCTAACCATGGATAACAACTGTTCATATTTTGAAATATTTTCTTCACATCTTTTATAATGCATTTTTTTAGTGTTATATTTTAAAAACAGTGCTCAGAGTGTACAAATAGGTTTATTTTCTGCTTTTTCACTGAATGTTTGAGCATTTTCTAGCATTTTTATTTTTATTTATTTATTTATTTTTACTTTTATTTGCATTTATTTTCTGCGGTATTTATTCCCAGGCCATGAGTTTTTGTTTCTTCAGTTTCTTCTGGGATATCTTTTTCTTCTGTGCAGCCTCCTCTTCTGGTTTAGGAACAGTCTGTTCTTTGTCACTAAGGCTCATCTCAACGTGGCGGGGAGAGCTCATGTCGGGGTTGATCCGACCGTGAGCTCTGTAAGTCCTGCGCCGCATCTTGGGGGCTTTGTTCACTTGGGTGTGCTCAATGACCAGAGAATCTACATCTAAGCCCTTAAGTTCAGCATTATTCTCTGCATTTTTGAGCACATGTAGTAAAAATTCAGCACTCTTTTTGGGTCACCGACCCTGCGTCCAGCCCACCGTTAGGCCTGTGCACACTTACCAACCTCACCGTTGTAACGACGGAATGGCGCACACTGCTTCTTTAAAGTGACATCCCTCAGATACTTGGTGGCTTTTCGGATATGCATGCCCTTTATGGCCTGGGCAGTCTCACGAGTGTTCTTAAAGTGAACACGAAGATTTGAACCTCTTGATTTGCATGATTTTGTGGGGTTTTCTGGGTCGAGTGAATAGCGCACCGTTTTTAGGGGTCAGCTCAGGCTGCTTACCAGAAAAGCCTAGCATTTTTAAATGCTTGTTTTTTAAACTTTTAAAAAAGTAGTTTAGTGACTAAATCCTATGGCATTTTCTGATTATTTCTTTCCCATAAATCCTGAAGAGGAATTAATGGGCAGAAGATAGGCAAATGTTTAAACTTCTGACATCTGCTACCAACTTGCCTGTAGGGCAGAGGTGCAAGGCCTATTAGAACCCACGGCCCAGCACAGCAGGAGGTGAGTGGTGGGCAGGTGAGCCGGCGAAGCAGCTTCGTCTGCCACGTCCCTTAGCGCCTGGACTGTTCCCCAGGCCCCATCTGTGGACGAAGCTGGGTCCTGGTGCCCAAAGGACTGGGAGCCGCTGCTGTAGGATGTAAGTGAACAGCTGTATACGATTCAGGAATTACACTCAGATCCGTTACACTGGGTACAGAAAGATGACTTTTCTTGAGAAATAGAGACCTAAGTAGTAATGTCTTAAACAGCAAAAATTTACAAAGATTAAATGTTTCAAAATTTAGCTATATGAATGATACTCGGTAATTTTACTTATTTTTGTAGAGTTACTTGAGTTAAGAAGAGGTCAATAATTTTATTTCTTACTGAATAAAAGGCACTTTCGGGTTCCACACGTTTATGTGTGTGATACATATCCTCACTTTTCATTTCTACCTCCGATTCCTAAAATGGTTCACCCAGTGTCAGTCTGCTCGGGTTGCCTTAACAAAATACAATCGATGAGGTGACTTTAACAACATAAATTTATTTCCTTGTTGTCCTGGAGGCTGGAGGTCTGGGATCAAAGGCTGACAGGTTTCATTTCTCCAGAAGCACCTGTCTTTGGCTTGCAGATGACGTGGCCTTTTTTCTGGGCTTGTGAGTCCCTGTCTCTCCTTCATCCTGTAAGGACGTCTGTCATTTTGGATCGGGCCTAACTATTACATGACCTCATTTAACCTTAATTTACTCTTTAACGGCCCTGTCTCCACCTGCAGTCATTTTCTGAGGTATACTGGGTAACTAGGACTTTGAAATATGATTTTGTCATAAGAGGTGCACCCAGTTCAGTGCATAACATCGAGATAACCTTCAGCAGTAGTGTGTCTTGCTAGTCATTTGGAGAGCAGTTAATTCATCAGTAAGTTCTTTTTTTTCCCCCCTCTAGGGTGAATCTTCTAATGGTTCAAATGATAGAGGAATGAAATCATTAGTTAATAAAATGACTGTTGCTTTGAAGACAAAATCCGTTAATGTCAGGGAAAAAGTTATCAGCTTTATTGAGAATACATCAACTCCTGTGGACCGGTGAGTTACTTTTATAGTATGAATTTGTGATGAGTAATTCAAACTAAAAAAAAGTACCTTAGAGTAAATGTTAGTTGAATAGAATGTTCTTTAAAAAAGGATTGTAAATTACATTTTTTAATTAGATGACTCCAGTTTTCATTATCATCACAGAGATGTTCTTTATTGCTGTAAAGTTTGACTATGAAGATTACTCTCTTCTCCCACTGCCCAGAATAGGTGGCATATAATAATTCTGCCCCTTCAAGCCATTCATTAGAAAAAAATATTCCAACCCTATTATGTATATCCCACCTGTCAAGTGGTTGGAATCATCTGTTAAGTGCAGTAATCTCATAGCAGTAATCTCTTTCTTGGCTTCAGGAATTTAAAACCTAGAAAATTTAGTCATAATAAAGCAGAACCCCATTTTCTTGAGTTTAAGAATTCAGATCTTCATAGAATTTTGTTCACAGCATGTGTGACCTCTCTTCTTCCGTGAATTACAAATGAAGTAACCAGCTCACAAATGATAATGAAGTTTAAGAGTGTCTATTATATTGCTTCTCACTGGGATTGTGAGTGCACAATATGTTTTCTTTTTCTCCACATGTTAGTTTCATTGATCTCTCTTGTTCTTAGAGTTCAAAGGTAACCTAATAATTCCTGGGTGAAATTCGTTTCTAAGCAAGCCTGATCTTGGAAATGTGTTATAGTATTTAATTTCATCTCATGTCTTACTGGCAGTATCCTAGGAGAGTTGAAGTATTTGACTTTAAGAACTGAATATAAGGAATGTACTATTTTTTCATTTTATTAAGTAAAGTACATATGCATACAGAGGTATATATATTTTTTCGTTTAGTAAATAACAAGATGTTGGTTATTTTCACTAATCCAGAAAACTACTTTGTCTAAAATGGGCAACTGATAAATAATGTTATAAGTTTTTTAATCAAGCCTGAGAGTTTTTTTTGCTCCTTAAAATTGTGTCTGCTTTCAAAAGCTTTATTTTTAAAAATACTTTTAGTTAGTGCATTCTCAATTAGGGTACTATTATTGCTACATTTTGTAGCTGAACACTTAAAATTTTATTTTAAAATGAACTGGTGATAATACTAAGTTGAAAAGACTATACTGTTTGTTAAAGAATCACTTGAAACTGGCTTTTCTTCATTTTTCTTTGTACTTGGGATCATCAAAACATTTTCTTTTTAATGTACACTCTGGGTTAGAAAAACTGATTATTCTGTATTTTTGTTTTAAAGCTGTTGTGTTTTTAATAATCATATTGTTCTGTCCTCTGCCTCAATTTGCTGTAGAATGTCTTTCACTCTTCCTTGGCCAGACAGAACATGTACCGAGCGGTAAGCCAATGAGTAGCGCAGCTTTCCTGGACCATCCTTTTCCTGTAGCATGCCTCATGCTGTCTCTAAGCCTCCTGCTGATTTCGTGCAGCTGTCTCGGATGCTGAACTCTTCTCATTCTGCTTTAGGAGTGTGTGATGCTGATGTGCTTTCCTTTTGGTTTTTTTGCTCGATCATTTAAATTTTTGTCCTTGCCTCCCCCTCAATATCTCCTGTTCCTCAGATGAAAATCACATACATTCAAACTCAACAATTTCATAAAACAAATTTCATGTTTTTATTCTAAGACAGGAAGATGAAACAAAGAAAATACGTAGTCTCAGAGTTGGGAGGCTATTAGCTTTGGAGATGATTTACTTCTGTCTCATGCCGTTAACAGTGGAGAAAATTGTAGCACCTGAAGAAAAGCATAGTTTGTGGTTCAAATTTTTTGTTATTTCATGTACACTATGTAATTTGATAATATCGCTAGAATTTTCTTAATAAGATGTATGTGTTTAAGTTGGTGAGTCAACAGTATGTAAATTAGTTCCAAAGAACTCCAGTTCTAGGATTCTGCCTTTGCTTTTCCTTGAAAGAAATTAGGCCACAGTGGACATGTTAATATATAATCCATCTCTTCTCTGATCCCAGTAAAATGGGGTACTTGTTATTAAATTCCACAGGTTTAAAGTTTAGAAATCTTCTGGATCTTCAATTAGGATAAACAATAGAACATTATACTATATGGCTTTACATTTTTATATGCATGACTTTTCTATGATTTTAATTTGAATGTCAATTATAGCAAGACCTATGAACATTTAAAAAGAAATTCTAGTCATACTTTGAAAAGTAAGTTAAGCTCTGGAATTATGCAGTTGACTTTTTTGGCAGATCATTTCAATGTGTTTAGTGAATTAGAAATAGCATTTTTAGCAATAGCTTGCTTTCAACTTATGTATAAGATTTTGTTGACTGTGACTACTCCTGAGTGGTGCCTGTTACAGAGCTTCGTTACAGTTTTATAATTTTAAAGGGGGTGGCTTCTTTTAAAATTATAATCTATTTGTGAATCATCTTTCTGTTTTCTCCTGTTACATACAGGACCATCGAATTATTCTGATTTTTTTTAACTTCCAAATTTTATCCCAAAGAATTTTTTAAAAATTCGAATTATCTTTTCTGATTCCTAGAGATATATCCATTTTGAAAATAGAATTTAATGAAAAGTTAGAATAAATTTGGTTTGTTTTTGAGCCCAGTAAATAAAGTTAAAATCTATTCAGACTATTTTGTAGATTTTGTTTCTGCAAAAAGCATAGACAGACTGTTTTTTAAAGAGTCCAGCCATTGAATTTCAGTTTTTGATAGTCTTTTAAGAACTTTACTAGTTATCTTTAGCCATCTTGTTTATAAAAGCTGCATTGTATTATACATTTTGCTCAATAATGTATAGCTTGATATCTTTTTTTGGATATCACTTTATTCATATTACATTCTGGTACAAGCATTTACTGTAAACATTATCTTTGTTACTTTCTATATTATAGAAGTTTAATTATGCTTTAATATCAGGAGAGAACCAATAACACAATCTCATACAATTTTATAATCTAGATGACACAAATGTATTGTTACATAAGGCTATGTTTGTCTTTGCCTTTTGTAAGAAAGCTGAATCTGAGTTGCATAGATTTACTTCAATTATTGCTTTCATTTTTTTGTCTTTAATGAGTATAATTTGTTAGTTTACAGGATAACTTTACGTTAGATATGCTTTAGCATAAAAATCAAATGGTTTCATGATTTTAACTTAAACTGTAACCAGTGTGTTGATTAACTTACAATTCTGTCATGCCTCTTAACTTTTGTTGGTTTTCTATTAAGGACTATTGTTTTGGGAGAAGTAAAGATTTAAGCATATTTTAACCAAATTAGGTCATGATTTTTATTGATGTTATGTATTAAGAAGTTATTTAAAATATAGATTTGATCTCTGTCTTTTGGAAAAATAGAATTCTAAGACACATAATTGAACTCTCTCTTGATACATGACAAGGGAAAAAACAAGCTACAATTTTCCTTCATCATAGATTATTTTAGCTGAACCTTGTCCTACAAATAATACAGTACTCTTTCTCTAGAAACGTAATATTTTGTCTAAATATTTTAATTTTACTTCTTGTTTTATTGGAGATTACCTGAAAAGTAACAAGGTATTGATTTTTATATTAAAAAGAGAACTTCCTATAGAACTAATTAAGTTTGAGTTTACATGTTTGTTTCTGCCACTTGAGAGTGAAAGGCAAGTTCATTTTCATGGTTTATTTATGTAAAAGAAGTAGCATCTTAGTTTCTATTGAAACAGAAGTAACAGTAATAAGGAAAAATGGGAGGAAAAACCTTAAGACATATGTACTCAAATGAGAAGCCGATAGGCACTCCTACTAGAATTTGAATATTTGGTTTCATAAACTGTTTTGTCTTAAGAAACATGTATGTTGCACTAGCTGTATGCCAGACATTATTTCAAGAGCTTTACCAAATATTAACTGACTTAATTTTCACAGTAACCAGGAAGAGTAGATGTTGTCACTACCGTTTTACAGCTGAGGACACAGGGCACAGAGGGGTGAAGGAATGTCTCAGTGCACTGGTTTATATGAACATTAAAATTGTTTAAAACTTAATTTTTACAGATTTGAAAGCATTCTGCATACCAAGACCTTGTGCCACTTTTGCTAACATAATTTCCTTATCTTGTTTCAATTTCCTTAACATAGCTGTCCTGAAACTGGGTGATACATGGTGGGGTAGGGGGTGGACAAAGAACATTTGTATTTTGTTTAATATTCAGATGACACTTGGGGAAAATCTTTAGAAACTTAAGTGATGATTTCCCTCTTACAATTCTCTGAATATAGGCATGTGAGCAGCAGTGACAGAGTGGGTAAGCCTTACCGTGGTGTGAAGCCCGTTTTCAGCATCGGGGATGAGGAAGAATACGACACAGGTGTAGTACTACACTTCCGTGTATATCGACTGCTTTCCTCAGGCATCAGGAGTGATGCAGAGATCATCCTGGGACCAGATAGAAGACACAGTGAGATTCTGTAGAAGAGATTGGAGAGCCTGTGGTTTTTCTATTAAGAGTTTGGTTTTAAATGCCTTAATTTATGCAGTAGAAATGCTGACTAGGCAGTAATTATAGGAGTCTAGTTGAGGAGAGATGTCTAAGCCGGTGATAATCTGGGGATTATCAGTGTATAAATAGTTTTGAAATCCATGGGATTGGATGTAGATCCCCTTGATTCACCCTGTAGGGGATTAAGAGTTTTAGGACTGAAGTCCAGGAAATCTCAAAATTGAGACATCTGAAAAGAGCCTTTTGAAACTGGAGGCAATATCCTAAAGGGCCACAAGATGGGGATATTGTGCCAGGGAAATTCGTGATAGTCTTTATGTTTTAAAAAATAATTTGTTTTTGTTCATAATCCCACTGCTCAGATTACCCTAAGTGATCATAATTAGTATTAATGTGTGTTGAGTTAGAAAAAATATATATTGTATATTAAGTATATGTTGTATATAAAAGTACAAAACAAGAGTACTCCCAAATCTCTTCTTGCTTTTTTCACTTAGTAATACATGTGTATTTTCCACCTCAGCCCACAGCTGACTTCCTGTTATATACAAATGCACCATAATTAAATCATTCTTCTCCCAGTTGACCCTGGTAGTTATCCAGTTTTGTTTTTTTTTTTACTATTTCAGATAGCAGTGGCTATCTTTGTGTGTGTGTGTGTGTGTGTGTGTGTGTGTGTATGAACGAACATATATTCACATATATCTAGGTGAACTTTTTTGCAAGTGTATCTAGAAGGTAAGTACTTCACAGTAAGATTGCCAGATTAGAGGGACTCACATTTGACATTTTAATGGCTATTATAGTCACTTTCCTGAAAACTGCATTGAAGGGAAAATAATTTTCTATATGTAATTTTTTTGAAGCAAATACACAGAATTTTTATTTTTCTTCTGTATAATATTTTTATATCCCTGTATAAAAACTCTGAAAGTACATTTTCTCTTTTATAGTGTAACAAAATAATCAGTACGTTGTATTTTATTTTATAGCTTTTCCCCCAACACCTTCTCTAGCTATTCTTATCTTCTGTTTCATACATTTCTGTATGCTACTTGTAATTGTTTGCCTTTCTCCTTTTTCCTGTCTCTTCTGTCATTTTCCTGTTACCGATCATTCTCTCTCTTTCCCTAAATACTTGTTATTCCATTAACAAAGGGAGGAAGGAAATGGATGAATAAATGTTGGTGTATTTTCAGATATCATATTTGTATATATATACATAAGTATTTACACTCTGAAAAATTACACAGAAATGAAAATAAGAAAACTGGAGCTGTGATTATCAACATGGATAGTTTATGACGTTGGGCATAGGGTAGCAGTTGGAGAAGAATACAGTTGAACAGTCTATTATTTATGTTAACTTAGAATGCAAAACAGTACTGTATATTATTTAAGAATATTCTTGTTTGATTAAAAGTAAAGATGTGACCCCAAATTCAGATAGTCACTGTTTCTTAGTGGAAAAGAAATGGGGATGTGATTGAGCAGAAACCCATGAGGGCTTTACTTTTTTATTTAAGCTAGAAGTGAATAGTTATGTGAGATTTCATTTTTTTTTGCTGTGTTTCTTGTATTTTGATTTCTTGAAAAGTGAAGAGGAGAACATCTGCAATTAACTCTAGGGGGTGTAATCTCCTTTCTTAAATTAGAAAAACAGAATAACAGGAATGTCTTACATTTCTCTCACAAAAAACCCCACTAAATAGACTTATTTATCCCAGGATTATATTGTTATTTCCCCCCAGAGTCAGAAGCCAGTAATTCTGTAGATGGAGTGTAATCTATTATAAAAATATTGAATCACTATGTTATACACCTGAAACTGATATAATTATGTAAATCAACTACTTCAGTAAACAAAAAAGGAAAAGAAACCAGCAAGAGAAAAAGAACTCGGACATTTTTGCCCTCAAGATAGGTGGTAATATTATTACTGGACAATTCCACCATCCCCTACAGACTAGTCATAGATTAGAGTTATGTTGTATAAATCAAAAAAGTTGAAATCCTTTAGGTAGTTTAATATTATAATAAAAGTATATATGTAATATTTTCACTTGATTTTCTTACCATATGTAGTGATGTTTCATCATAATACTTTTATATTAGTGTCACTGGCATAGGAAATATAGTAGCTGGGTTAGAATTGATTGTTTTGTTTTGTTTTTCAACCTGTGTGTTTAAAATACTACTGAAATTTTTTTCAGGCTATCATTTTTAAAGTTGGTGATACCCACTTTTAACATCTTAAATTCTTTACAGATGAAATTGACAGTTCTTCAATGTCAGATGATGATAGAAAAGAGGTTGTGAACATTCAGACTTGGATAAACAAGCCAGATGTCAAGCATCATTTTCCTTGTAAAGAAGTGAAAGAAAGTGGACACATGTTTCCTAGGTACTTTTTAACTAAGTTGAATTTTTTTCTAAATTTTATTTTTGGTTGCACTGGGTCTTCGTTGCTGTGCCTGGGCTTTCTGGGCGTGGGGGCTGCTCTTTGTGGCTGCACACGGGCTCCTCATTGCGGTGGTTGTCTCTTTGCAGAGCACAGGCTCTAGTAGTTGGAGTGTGTATGCTCAGTGGTTGTGTCTCTGGAGCGGTAGGGCTCTCAGGCTTCAATAGTTGTGGCGCCTGGGCTTAGTTGCTTGATGGCAAATGGAATCTTCCTGGACCAGGGACCAAACCTGTGTCCTCTGTGGTGGCAGGCGGATTCTTATCCACTGTGCCACCAGGTAAGTCCCTCAGTACTTTTTAAAATGCCTTCTTCAGAAGTAAAATTGAATTTAGGGAAGTCAAGATATGAAGGTTAGCTGCGAAAGAAATTGTATGTATCTAAGCATAGTAAGATATAATTTCTTCTGTCAGCTTGTATTATATATCTTGGTTTTTTATAAAATATTTCTTAGGTAATTTTTGGGGAAAAATTGAAACAGATAAGTTGAATAGTACATTGAGTATAAGCCTCTCTCAGACTCACCTACTTTTAACTTTTTTTCACACTATCCCATCTCTCTGTTTAAATATCTTTGTATATACATACACACATATACACTTTTCTCTTGTCAAACCACTCAGGAGAAGCTTATAAATATGACAGGTGCTTTAGTGTAAATCTCTCAAGAATATGAATAGTCTCCTCCACAATTCCAATAACACCGTCACATCTTTAAAAACCTTAAAAATGAGCATCATTTAACATGCAGACCACATGCAAATTTTTCACAATGTCTCCAAGGTATCTTTTATAGTCTTTATCCTTTTTTCCTGATCCAGGGCCTAGTCCTATTTTACACATTGCATTTGCCTACTCTCTCCTTAGTCTCATCCCTTGAACAGCAATACTGCTCCCCTCATCATACTTCCCGCTTTTCTTTGTGATGAGTGAATCCTTTGAGTCTAGGTCAGCTGTTCTGCAGAATGTCCCTCATTCTGGATATCTGTCTTAGTGTATTTCATAAAAGTGTGTGAGTACTATTACCTTACTAAAAGTGAGCCGAGACACAAGGCATGGGTGGGTGTTAATAATTCTATCATTGTTTTGACTTGGGGACCGATTTCAGAATATTACTAAATATGTAAGGCAGTCCAGGTATTGCTTAGTGGTCTTTGATATAAAGTATATGCTATGGTATGTTACATGAGGGTAGTTTGCTGTTAAAAGTCTGAAAGGGGGACTCCCCTGGTGGTCCAGTGGTTAAGACTCTGAGCTCCCAGCGCAGGGGGCCCAGGTTCGATCCCTGGTCAGGGAGCTAGATCCCACATGCTACAATTAAGACCCACAGCAGCCAAATAAATGAATAAAATGAAAGAAAAAAAAAAGTCTGAAAGGTAGTATATTTCAAATACCATGTAGAATAGATTCTGAAAATCCATTATTTTAATAATTTCTAATTATAGTTTTTATTGTATTAAATATAAACTTTACTCTTAAATAGTTACAGGATTATCTGTCAATAAAACACTTATTTTGCCTACAACTGAAGGAAAATTAAAAGCTGTTACTAGGTAGCTTATTTAAATCAATAGTGATCCTTTGCCTACAAAAGTAGTTTCATCTGGAGTTGAACATTTTTTATAATTGGGACTGTTGAAGTAACAGCTGTTCTGAATGACATTTCTTTTTGTTTTATTAATGTTTTGTCTTTCTCAAGTCATCTGTTGGTTACCGCAACACATATGTACTGTTTAAGGGAGATTCTTTCACGGAAAGGATTGGCCTATATACAGTCTCGACAAGCACTAAATTCTGTAGTTAAAATAACATCCAAAAAAAAACATCCTGAGCTAATTACCTTCAAGTATGGAAACAGCAGCGCTTCAGGAATAGAAATCTTGGCAATCGAAAGGTAAGATTATCTTAGGATGATATTGTCTGAATTACTGAATTAGTTCATTATTAAACATGATTTGTTTCTCTCTTTGGGGAAATGGATGGTGGAATAGGATACTTGAACCACTTTTATTGGTATTCCTGCTATCTTTTCCTTACAAATTTGTTGTAATATATGGATTAGGCATCAGCACATGATTTCATTAAGTGCCATGGCTAACTTCACAGACTTTGACAGAAGGATCTTTAGGAATACTCTACACCAGTGCCACGCTACATGCTGCTTTGCAATTAAATGAGCTTTTCTTGGAATGTAAGTCAGTGTTTTTATTTTCCTTCGTCAAAAAATTTTCATTTTGAAAAGTCTCAGTGAACTAAGCAGTGTGCTGGATGATGTAGTTAGTTAACAGTCTGGGGCACGCTCCTCCTCGCCTCCTTGTGAACCAGTGACTAACAGTTCTTGGACTGGCACCAGGGCTGTAGCCACATTGCTGTTGAAGCTAAATCACCTTTAATCTTACAGGTAACAGTGTGAAGCCCAGAGGGATTGAGTGACTTCCAGATCGTCACACTTAGCTTGTCTTAGAACCAAGTATAGCCCTCCTGACTCCTGATCTCCCGTTCATTCCACCTTGCTCTACACAATAAGAAAAGTCATTTTGCATTTGGATTTTGAGTAGATGTTGGGATAAGTGATGGGGGAGTACGTAGGAGGGCATCTGTGCTGGATGTGTGGGCCACTTCCCCACTGGGAGTGATGTTTGAGTCCTCAACGGAAGGCACCCTTATTCATATGTATTTTCCCCCCACAGGTATTTGATTCCAAATGCGGGAGATGCTACCAAAGCCATAAAACAACAGATCATGAAAGTTTTGGATGCTTTGGAAAGTTAATGTAAATGAAAATTATTTCAAAAGAAATTAAGGCAACCAAGAGAAATATGGACATATTTTCCCAAATGAATACTAATTGGAGACTTTCATTTGCTTATGGGGGTGCTTAAATAGCAAGCCTAAGAAAGTGTAAATTATTATAATCAAACTCTGGACAGTTAAATTTTTTTTTAATTTTCTTTTGCGTTTTTGGTTTTGTAAAATGATTTCTTAAAAGGTCAGTTATCAAATGACTTTAAAGTAGCTGACCCTGTGCCCTTATAAACTAAGGGTGCAGAATGCAGTTCTGTTTTGAAGAGCTGTTTTAAGAGAACATGCAACAGTTTCAGATTTAAAAACAACCATACACATGTGTATTTGCAATGTCTTCACTGAAAATTAGAGATAGACTTCACTGAAGAGACCCCTTTAATTGCTTCGTTTAGTTTTACCCACTGAGCAGTATCAAAAACTAAAAAGTATTATATAGATCAATAATTAGCTTGCCGTTTCTCTTCTTAAAAAGAGTGAAATCTTTTTAATAAAATGGATGAAGATTCCAGCCAACTCAAATTCAGACCAGCTAGTAAAATGTTGAAACGTCAGTTTCTGAGTCATCTTTGTACCATTAGCTAATAACCTTAACACTGAGTGCTTTAGATACTAAACTTCATCTTAATTGTATCTAAGGAGCAGTTAAAAGCATTATAATAAGTAGGTAGGCATGTTACGATTAAAATTAACACTTGGGGGACAAAATTGTATCTTTAGAAGTGTCATTGGTCTCTATTACAAGAGGAATATTTGATTTAGGATATTTCAAAACAGGTACTGAGCACACATGGATTTATCTTCTGTGAGATTATGTCTGTGACCACACTAATACTGACTTAAAGAAAAGCTAGATGATCGGAGATCTGTATAAACTAGTTTTTATCATCACTTTATGAAATATTTTTCTCTTGGTTTTTGTTTTCTTATTAAAGTTCTAGTGGTTTGAAATTATTTTTATTCTCTTAATATGACAAAACTGCAAGTGGTCTGCTTTATTTTGCAGCTTTCTCAGTTTAATTCATTGAGGTTTGTGTTAGACACATTTGGTGAAAGAAATCCAGGAACACATTTGGGGCCATGGAATGACTGCTTACAAAAATCTGTTTGGGAAGTAACAAATCCTCACAACCCGCCATGTCCTAAAATGTCATGGATTATCTCTAGGGGTTGATAGAAATATTCAGATGTATCCTGTTTACAGCCAGTTATTTTAATTTACTTAAAAGGAGATCACATGAGTAAAAGGCAACATAGTTCAAGATATTTTATTCTCATATCTAAATAAAAACAGTTTGAGTGGTTGAAGACATTTGCATGAAACTGCACCTGGTACAATACTTGATATTTATAACTCCCCACGACTGTTGTATTGCATTTCCCCCTTTCTTTTGGTGCCCCTTTTAGAAATGTCCTGAAGTCTCATTTTTTGCCCATTTCAGCCATGGGACTTTTTTCATAATATTAATGTAAAGATGTTTGTGTTACTCTTTATAAATTACAGTTGTAAATAAATCAGTACAATTTGCTCAAAACTTTGTGGGTTTTTGTTGTTGTTTTTCGCCATGCCAACATGCATGTTAGGATCTTAGTTCCCCAACCAGAGATAGAACCTGTACCCGCTGCATTGGAGGCATTGAAAGTGCAGCCTCTTAACCACTGGACTACCAGGAAAGTCCTCCAAACTTTGTTCTTAATGACAGTCTCTCTCTCTCTCTCCCTTTCCACCCATTTGTAAATCTCTACAGATACCACAAAATTAGGAAACTGAGGGCTATCCTTACAGTGGAATTTAAGTGTCCCAATTTCAGGTTTGAAAGTATTAAATTCTTCATTGTGTTCATCCACATGGGGAAGAGGAAAGAGGGAGTTTAAAACTAATGACATTACATTCTACATGTATTAAATTACTCCCTTGAACTACTCATCTAAAATTTTTACTCATCTGAATAGCCCAGTTATTCATGAATATCAAATGAAAATACTTGTCACTGATTGTACCAGGCACTTACGTAGCTGTATCCTCTCTCCACTGGTCTGATACCCAGAGAACTAGAATTTACTCTGGGATACCCACCTCTGTGTACCCTCCAGGATTGCAGGGGTTGCAGTATTATGAGTTTGGTTCACTTCAGTTCAGTCACTCAGTCATGTCCAACCCTTCGTGACCCCATGAACCACAGCTCACCAGGCCTCCCTGTCCATCACCAACTCCCAGAGTTTACTCAAACCCATGTCCATTGAGTCGGTGATGCCATCCAACCATCTCATCCTCTGTCGTTCCCTTCTCCTCCCACCTTCAGTCTTTCCCAACATCAGTCTTTTCCAGTGAGTCAGCTCTTTGCATCAGGTGGCCCAAGTATTGGAGTTTCAGCTTCAACATCAGTCCTTCCAATGAACACCCAGGATTGATCTCCTTTAGGATGGACTGGTTGGATCTCCTTGCAGTCCAAGGCACTCTCAAGAGGCTTCTCCAACACCACAGTTCAAAAGCATCAATTCTGCTCTCAGCCTGCTTTATAGTCCAACTCTCACTTCCATATGTGACCACTGGAAAAACCATAGGTCTCTGCTCTTTAATATGATGTCTAGGTTGGTCATAACTTTCCTTCCAAGGAGTAAGCGTCTTTTAATTTCATGGCTGCAGTCACCATCTGCAGTGATTTTCGAGTCCAGAAAAATAAAGTTAGCTACTGTTTTCACTGTTTCCCCATCTATTTGCCATGAAATGATGGGACTGGATGCCATGATCTTAGTTTTTTGAATGTTGACTTTTAAGCCAGCTTTTTCACTCTCCTCTTTCACTTTCATCAAGAGGCTCTTCAGTCCCTCTTCACTTTCTGCCATAAGGGTGGTGTCATCTACGTATCTGAGGTATTGATATGGAACCTCAGTAGACCATAAGAATAGCAGAATTTGGTAGTTGGTAGTTCAGCTGGTAAGGAATTCACTTGCAATCAGAAGACCCCGGTTCGATTCCTGGCTTGGGAAGTTCCCCTGGAGAAGGGATAGGCTTCCCACTGCAAATATGCTTGGGCTTCCCTGGTGACTCAGATGGTAAAGAATCTGCCTGCAATGCGGGATTCCCGGGTTCTATCCCAGGGTTGGAAAGACCCCCTGGAGGAGGGCATGGCAACCTACTCCAGTATTCTTAACCTGGAGCACCCCCATGGTCAGAGGAGCCTGGCGGGCTACAGTTCATGGGATCACAAAGAGACATGATTGAGCGATTAAACACAGCACATAGAGTTTAGAAGGTTATTAAAGATCTTCCTGCTGCAAAGCCAAGTCCAGTTAGTCTGTTAAAGCTTCAAAAACCCCATAGTTACTATGTGTTTTCTCGAGTTTTTGTCATGAAAGTGTTAAAATTTAAACTTTTAAAAAGTCTTAAAATAGGACCATGAACAACTTTCTAACTTCCTCCTAGATTTGGTAATGATTTTGCCATATTTGACATCTTTATATAAGAACATATTTTCTTTTTTGCTGATCATTTTCAACTCAGACATTCTGACACTTCACCCCTAAATACTTCAGCATGCATCTTCTCAGATGAAGACTGTCTGGCATTATCACAGTTTTCACACAAAAGTCATGAAAAGCATCAAATATCCAGTTCATATTTAAATGTCCCTTAATTGTCCTCAAAATGTTTTTTATAGTATCCTTTTAAAAACTTAAGATATATTGCAATAAGAACTATTCCAGATCATCAAAAAGGGTAGCAAATTGGGCTTCTGTGGTGGCTCAGTGGTGAAGAATCCACCTGCCAATGCAGGGGATGCCCGTTCAATCCCCGATCCGGGAAGATCCCACATGCCATGGAGCAACTGAGCTGTGTGCCAGAATTATTGAGCCTGTGCCTTAAAGCCTGGGACCTGCAACTACTGAAGACCCTGCACCCGAGAGCCTGTGCTCCACAACAAGAGAAGCCACGACAATGAGCCAGCACACTGAAACAGGTGAGTAGCCCCACTCACTGTGACTAGAGAAAAACCTGTGTGGCATCTAAGGTCCAGGACAGCCAAAAATAAATTACTTAAACATTTTAAAGGGGAGCAAATTTTTGTTTTATTTGATTCCCCGAATTTGACAAAAGCACAAACACATAAATTAAAAATCAATCCTAATAAATGCAAATATCCTAGAACGGTATTAGCAGATTTCAGCATATTCAGTTCAGTCACTGTCATGTCTGACTCTCTGTGACCCCATGGGCCACAGCACACCAGGCCTCCCTGTCCATCACCAACTCCTGGAGTTTACCCAAACTCGTGTCCATTGAGTCGGTGATGCCATCCAACCATCTCATCCTTTGTCGTCCCCTTCTCCTCTGCTGTCCATCTTTCCCAGCATCAGGGTCTTTTCAAATGAGTCAGCTCTTCTCATCAGGTGGCCAATGTATTGGAGTTTCAGCTTCAACATCAGTCCTTCCAGTGAACACTCAGGACTGATCTCCTTTTAGGATGGACTGGTTGGATTTCCTTGCAGGACTGAACTGCTGTTGACAATATTCTGTCTGAACCTAGTTTCTCTTTTCCCCTCCTCTCATCACATAGTGGAGAAGGCAATGGCAACACAGTCCAGTACTCTTGTCTGGAAAATCCCATGGATGGGGGAGCCTGGTGGGCTGCAGTCCATGGGGTCAGTAAGAGTCAGACACAACTGAGCGACTTCACTTTCACTTTTCACTTTCATGCCCTGGAGAAGGAAATGGCAACCCACTTCAGTGTTCTTGCCTGGAGAATCCCAGGGACGGGGGAGCCTGATGGGCTGCCATCTATGGGGTCGCAGAGAGTTGGACACGTCTGAAGCGACTTGGCAGCAGTAGCAGCAGCAGCATCACATAGCAGTCTTGTACTCCAAACCCAGAGTGCCTAAATCAAGTGATATAATTCTATACTCCTTTTGGGGACTTGTTCAAATCCCCCAAGGCAATCTGGTTAGATAGCATCACCAACTCATTAGACATGAATTTGAACAAACTCCAGGAGAGACAGGGGGACAGTGGAACTTGGCCTGCTGCAGTCCATTGGGTCACAGAATCGGCCACGAACGACTGAGGGACCGAACAACTAACCAGGTAAGGTATGTCCCCTGGCCACAGACGTGATTCAACTAGCAAGAGCTTCAGTCCTTTCGCTGAGACTCGGAGAGGCCGGTTGTTAAACAGTTACTAGCACACCACCCCGATTTAGGTTGTCCCTTGCCTTTTTGTATCTGACTACGAGGATGTTACTGAAACAGCAAGAGATTAACAGGTATTTGAGGCGCGCTGGAAAGAAGACAACGTTTGAGCCCAGTCAAAAGGCCCAGGGACGGGGCGGGGCGAGAGGCGGAGCATCGGGCGATGAAGCCCCGCCCCCGGACGCGCCGCTTGGCCCCGCCCCTCGCGGCGGCGGCGCGGGCGCCGCGGCGTTGGCCCAGAGACCTGCGCTCAGCCGGCAGTACCCATGGTGCTTCTCGGCAGAGCCATGGCTTGTAAGTAGCGCTGCGGCCCAAGCTCGGGCCGGAGTGGAGGCTTCGGGGGCGACGCCAGCGGAGCGTCTCGCCCGTTCAGCCCCTCTCTCCATCTCTTGTTCCCGCCGCGCCCTTGGCCTTCTCTGCTCTGGTGTTCGTGGGCCTGTGGGCGCGGGCGGGGAGGGGAGGAGGAGGCCGCGGCGCGCGTCGGGGACCCTGGGCTTCCGAGAGGTCCAGCGGGGTCGCGGGGGCGCCGGGCCCGCGCCGTGCTCCCCGCCCCGCGAGCTCGTGTGATACGTGAGGCAGAGTCCACGAGCGTTCCGGGCCGGTCCGCTCCGGATTCATCGGCGCGGGAAGGGTGCTTGTTTCGAATGCAAATTCCGCACCCTCCCAGCTGGTCTTTCGTATTTCCTGCCGCCACCCCCCCTCCCGCTCCACGACCCGAAGACTGTGCACTTTCAGTAAAGCTTTCAGTACTCACGAACCTCAAGTGTGAGAGTCTGTCCCGTGGGGTTCCTGGAGGTTGCTGCTAGTTTTAGACTGGTTTGAACTTGGGTTTTGCAAAGGCAGCAACCCTGATTATTTGTGGTTTGAGCCCTGTCAGGGGAAAATGAAGCGCCTGTTTTCTTTGATTCGGGCTTGTGTGGTAAGTGAACTCGTTAATTTGCTCCACACTGCGCCCCCCTCACACCCACTGGGCAATGCCGCCTTCTCTGGAACAACAACAACAAAAATGGGCAGTTTGTTTCTGCACCTGGACCTTGAACTTTCAGGTTAGGTATTAACATGTTTCTTGGGGCTTTCCCAGGTGGCTCAGAAGTAAAAGAATCCACCTGCCTATGCAGGAGAGGCAGGTTTGATCCCTGGGTAGAAAAGATCCCCTGGAGAAGGAAATGGCAACTCACTTCAGTATTCTTGCCTGGGAAATCCCAGGGGCAGAGGAGCCTTGTGGGATACAGGCCACGGGGTCCATAGAGTCGGACACAGCTGAGCACGCTTGTGTCACGTGTTGCTTACGCATCCCCACTCAGGATCAGCCCCAGGGATGAGGTTCTGGCTCTGTTCCCAAGTCTGTGCCTGATTCTTTTACTCGAGGCAGTAGAGTGCTCTGGGCTTTAAAAGCCTGGAGACCTGGATTATTACAGTCCTGGCGCAGCCCATGTCAACAAGTCATTTGATCGCTTTGGACCTCAGTTTCCCGTCTTTAAAATGAACATAAACTGTTTCTACGGAGGTCTTGCGAGGCTCTCTCAAGGTGGTAGTGTTTGTGGGAATGCTCTCTGATTTTCATTTCAACATCCTGGAGTGCAGTGCAAGCTGGTGCCTGAATCAACCTCTAGGATTGGAGTATAGAAGTCCTTTTACACACCACCTTCCGAGTGAGACTGTATCTTTCAGAAGAGACTAATGAACTGAAGAGCTGTGGTTCTTGGTGGGGTTGAGGGCAGCGTTGATCTGACTCCATTGAGGAATGTTTTCAAGTTACACGACTTCCCCCACCCACCCAGAAACAAACAAGGCACCCCTCCTGTCTGCAGTGCAGATTTTGGCTTGATTGTGGCTGTGCCAGTTATTTTTTGACTGGTTTCTTGGACCTTTCCCTCTGCAAGCCTCTTTATTTCTTCATCTACAAAATACCGCCAACGATAACCCACAGATGCTTGTGTGTGCAAAAGACCTGTGCATTCCCTATGCTGTTTCCCTGTTGGTCTCTTTGCGTAAGATATTTTATCCTTCCTCTTGGTGAGTCCTTGATTGTCAGATTACAGTGAATGTTAGTATAGCCAGGGACATGAACTAGTCATTGCAATCTAACAATCAAGGATTAGTGTAGTATAGTCAGGGACCTGATGACTTCCCTGTAGCTCACACGGTAACGTATCTACTTGTAACGCAGGAGCCTTGGGTTCAACCCCTGGGTGGGGAAGATCCTCTGGAGAAGGAAATGGCAACCCACTCCAGTGTTGTTGCCTGGAAAGTCCCACGGACAGAGGAGCCTGGTGGGCTACAGTCCGTGGGTGTTGCAAAGAGATGGGCACAACTGAGTGACTAACACGACTACTAGGGACCGGAAAGTGAAAAGTGTGTTCATTTTGCAGTTGAGAGGAAGTGACGAGGATCGCATCCTCTGCCTCAAGGAACTCTGCAGTGGCGGAACTGTCCTGCCCTGGCCCCTCTGTGGAGTGGGTGTTTTGCACAATGGCGGCCAGACCCCACCCTGGTCCTGGACAGCTGCCTTCCCGGGTGGGAGCGGGGAGAGGAAGCCATCAGTGAGCCGTGGAGGATCTCAGCTTACCCTCCCGCAGAAGCAGAGACAAAGCGCCACCTCTCAGTTACAGTGGGGACACCTCTCAGTCTCAGTTCATGGGGTCTGTGATGTTCTGGTGACAGCTCGGGCTGTTTGCCACAAAGTAATCAATCCAGCTTTTGTTTCCTGCTTTGTTTTCATCCATTCTGTGAAACTGTTTGACAAGCTGCATTCCAGGTTCAGTTTAGTTCTTCTCATTGTATTTAGGAGAAACCAAGGAATGGACATCAAGGCTGTATATTGTCACCCTGCTTATTTAACTTTCTGCAGAGTACATCATGCAAAATGCCAGGCTGGATGAAGCAGAAGCTGGAATCAAGATTGCTGGGAGAAGTATCAATAACCTCAGATATGCAGATGACACCACCCTTATGGCAGAAAGTGAAGAGAAACTAAAGAGCCTGTTGATGAAGGTGAAAGAGGAGAGTGAAAAAGCTGATTTAAAATTCAGCATTCAAAAAACTACAATCATGGCATCCCAGCCCCATCACTTCATGGCAAATAGATGGGGAAACAATGGAAACAGTGACAGACTTTATTTCCTTGGGCTGCAAAAGCACCACAGACAGTGACTGCAGCCATAAAATTAAAAGACGCTTGCTTCTTGGAAAGAAAAGGTATGACAAACTTAGCATATTAAAAAACAGAGACATTACTTTGCCAACAAACATCCAAATAGTCAGAGTTATGGTTTTTCCAGTGATCGTGTATGGATTTGCTAGTTGGACCATAAAGAAGGCTGAGTGCCTAAGAATTGATGCTTTTGAACTGTGGTTTTGGAGAAGATTCTTGAGAGTCCTGTGGACTGCAAGGAGATTCAACCAGTCCATCCTAAAGGAAATCAGTCCTGAATATTCATTGGAAGGACTGATACTGAGGCTGAAGCTCCAATACTTTGGCCACCTGATGTGAAGAGCTGACTCGCTGGAAAAGACCCTGGTGCTGGGAAAGACTGAAGGCAGGAGAAAGGAACAACAGAGGATGAGATGGCTGGATGGCATCAGCGACTTGATGGACATGAGTTTGAGCAAGCTCCAGCAGTTGGTGATGGACAGGGAGGCCTGGCCTGCTGCAGTCCATGGGGTCTCCCCATGGAGTCGGAAATGACGGAGCGACTGAACCACAACAACAAGAAATGGACATTGAGTTTTCCTATTTTTAGGGTTAACCCTGAGCCAAACAGGTCTTCATCAAAGGCCAGGGTCTGTCAGTGTTGCTTCCCTGGGGATGTTTTTACAGGTACAGGAGAGATACTCGGAGAGGGAAGTCACTGAGGGTGGGATTTTAGACGCCACAGCAGAGTTGGGGTGGGGAAGCAAGGCCAGGCCATTACAGATAATTCCGGAAGTTCTGCAGAGCTTTGTGGGTTATATCTTGGTTCGGAACCTTTAATGTAGTCTTCTATCAAGACCATGAGCGGAAACTGTCAGTAAGTGTCCAGGCGGGACTTGGAAACCACACTAGTCACTTGAACAGGAAAAGATTTATATAGAGGACTGTTAACCAGTAAAGGTGATTATTGTAAGGGTTAAAAGAGAGCTCTGTGGGAAAAGCATGTGTCGGATGTGGTGACAGCCTCTAGAAAGGAATAACCCCGGGGGAACCGGTGACCTTGCCCCCAGGCTGACAGCAGGTCTGCTTGCGTGATTTGTGGGACTCGGTCTCCAATGAAAATGTGGAGCCCCTAGTTCAGACAGCAGGAAGTGCTGTTTGGTTTTCCTTCCACAGTGTTTCAGTCTTTCATGATGCTTTTCTTTTGCTACTTCATGGTGTGCTCCTTTGGGCACCGGGAGATTCACGGGGGGCAGGCAGGCCCTCCCAGGGCCCCCCTCTGTGGCACGTGTGCGGCCCACCGGCTGCCAGGCTCCCCGTCCGCCAGTGGCTGGACCGATGCACCGTGTCCCGGCTGGCGATGGGGACGCTTAGCTAGGCGTGGCGGCTTCCTTCGGGTTCACAGTGGGGCGGGGACTGCCAGAGAGGCTTCACCTGCTGGACTGCGGGTGGACCAGGGCCCGAGGTCACAGGATAAGGGGTAGTTCCCTATTCAAGCCCAATCTCCTCTCTCCTTGTACGGGAGAGGCCGGCCCTGCTGGCTTCACTTCAGATTCTTGTGCCTGGAGTAGGCTTTGCTCAGGCTGTAGCTCTGTCTCAAGGTTGTTCAACCCCAGCCCTGTTGATGTTTACTGCTGCTGTTTTAGTCACTAAGTTGTATCTGACTCCTTGCAACCCAGTGGACCGTAGCCTGCCAGGCTCCTCTGTTCATGGGATTCTCCAGGCAAGAACACTGGAGTGAGCTGCCCTGCCCTCCTCCAAGGAATCTCTCCAACCCAGGGTGGATGATTCTTTGTCATCAGGGACTGTCATATGCCTTGTGGCACATTTGGTGGCGTCCCTGACCTCTGCCCACTGGATATAGCCAGCAGCACGCCAGCAGTCGTGGCCGTCAGCAGTGTCCCTAGACGCTGCCACATGTCCTGGGGGTCAGACTTACCCTCCGTGGAGAACTGCTGCTCTGTCTGAGTCAGCAGTCAGATCTGACCGCTCTTCTCTTCTATCTTCCTCCTCAGCTTTCCGCTTGGCCCTCATCCAGCTTCAGGTGTCTTCCATCAAGTCAGAGAACCTCACTCGAGCCTGTGGCCTCATCCGGGAGGCATCGAAGCAAGGAGCCCAGATAGTCTCCCTGCCTGTAAGTCTGGGGTGGCCACCCCTTTTCTGAGCACTGTCGTCCCAGTACTGTGGTGTCTGCTTACTCCCTTTGGACCCCAGGATGGTTTCTCGTCCATGTGGAAGGTGACCTAGCAAGGGTCTTTGTGACAGGACGTGCCAGCTTGGTGACAGGTCTTTAACTTTAGGTCACCTGCTCGGTTCAGAAGCCTCGGAGTCAGAGGGACTTACCTAAATCCAAAATACTCAGTGCCTCAGGTACTTATCTTCTCTGCTTGGATAATCTAGTCTTCATGAGACCAGGACATTGATTTTAGCACTGAGCTTCCAACATCTAAAAAAAAATTGTTGAAAATTGTTAAAATTGTTAGGAAGCCTGTGGTTATGTAGTGAGCCAAAAGATGCTGCATTGCTTTGCTAGGTGACCTGTTTAAAACAGAATCAGCTGAAGATGGGGCCACATTTGTTTGTCAGCAGGTACAGGGTCAGCCCCACGGACAGTCCCGCACTGGTCAGAAGATGCACCTCCCGGGCCCTTCTGCTGGCAGAGGCCTGCAGGGGTGAGCGGTGGAACTGTTCCTGGCCGTCCCTGCCCTCATGGTGGGGAGGAGGCAGCCCTCTGCAAGCCCTGGAGACTCTTCAGGGCTAGCTTGTATTGATATTCTAGGCTCCGGGGGCCGTGTACCAGTGAGGCCAGTGAACGAGAGTCATCAGCAGGGGCGCTTGAGGTCTTCATGTCGCTGCAGTGGTGGGACTCACCCTTGCTTGTATCCAGTCATGGCCTCTTGCTGGTTTAGGTTGCTGGGGGTCAGAGCCTAAAGGCCCGGAGTGAAAGCACTTCAATTCTGCATGTGTCCCCTGGACCTAACGGGTCTTCTGCAAGCTGGTGATCCTCGGCCTTGAGTTTCCTAGCACAGACAAGCAGTCTCAGTGAATGTAAATGAATGAACTGGAGGTGAAATTCCATGAGCTTTCTTTTATCACAGAGCTGTTGAGACACATTCAGGGGAGTGAGAAAGTTTGCAGGATCAGAATGATGGCGCTGGAGGGGAGCTTAGAAACATCCCCTCGTGTCCCCCATATACACGAGGAAATGTCTTAACCTCGGTGGGTTTCACAGCTTCTGTATTTTTAAAAAAACACAGGCTTTATTGCTTTACGTAGTTAATAATAGTTTTGAGACTCGGCATTCATCTTGACACCTCCAATCCTGTGAGTAAGCCCGGTGGTCATGGGTCCTGGGTGCCCGACGCTGGGGAGGCGTGGTTCTGTGGATTCAGGGAGAGACACGTGCAGCTTTTTGCCAAGGTGACAGCTTCTGGTTGAGCACAGACTCCAGCCCCATCTGAGCCTGAGTCCTGTCTGCGGCCACGGGCTCTTTAGCCTAAGGTGTCTGTGTGTTTCTTATCAGCTGTATTTTTTTATCTCTTTGAGAACTATGTCTTTTACAGCAGAACTTTAAAATAAGTTTGATTCCCCCCCCAACTTTTTTCTCTTCCAACATTATTCTAGGAATGCTTTAATTCTCCATATGGCACAAAGTATTTTCCTGAATATGCAGAGAAAATTCCTGGTGACTCCACACAGAAGCTTTCTGAAGTGGCAAAGGAGTGCAGCATGTATGTCATTGGAGGTAACTTCCCTACCTTCAAGCTATAATGGCCTAAAAAAACTTCTGAGAAACTATTGTTACATTTGAACCATGGAATACAAATTAGCCACTGAACACAATGAGGTAGATCTGTCTATGTAGGATTGTGGAGGGATCTTTAAGACATACTTTGGTGGGAAACGAGCAAGTTTGGTATGACGTGAACAGGTCCTTCCCTATAGATTAATGATCCACATAAAAGGCTGTGTATTTTTATATGTATTTATGTATTAAGGCATAGTGAATATTGTACAAGGACACACACCAAATGGCTGAAAATATTCTCTGGGGGTACAAGGGCAGGTGGAAATGTGGAAAGAAAAACTGTATCTGAAAGTCTTTAACACAGTGTTAAGAATTTCTTTTTATTTCCCCCATAAAGAGACCACTGATATCGAAGGTAGCTTAGAGTTTTAGGCTTAGTGAAGTAAGCCAGAGAAGACAAATTCTGTATGCTATCATTTACGTGTGAGATTTAAAACAAGAAAACAATCAAATGTATGTAATAAAACAGAGACAGACTCACAGAACAAACTAGTGGCTACCTGTGGGGAGAGGGAAAAGGGGATGGGGAGTTAGGGATGGGACGAGATTGAAACAACTATGTATAAAATAAATAGGTAACAAGAGCATATTGTGCAGCACTCAGAAATAAAACAACCGTTTTGTAATACTTTTAAATGGAGTGCAGTTTGAAAAAAATTTGGATCATTATGATGTATGCCTGAAACTAGTGTAATATTGTAAATCAACTATAATTTTTAAAAAGTAGCTTTATTTATGTGGCTTGTTTAAATAAAAATGTTCTGTTTGTTTACATAAAAATACAGTAAAACTCTGTTTAATACAGTAAACAAAATTATTTCTGTATTCTGATAGAGTGAGAATTAGATATAAATAAGGGGTAGAGAAAAGAGGGCAGAGCAAGCAGAGATGGAACGACAGGCACCATATTTAGTGATGGAAACACTGGCATCCTTCCCACGTTAAGGCCTTTTTGGATACAGTTATGTTGCAGAACCTGGTGGATTTAAGTTGAGCAACTGTGAGTTCCCTGTGTTGCACTGATGCTTCAGGTTAAGTGTTGCTCAAGAGCAAAGCTGAACTGAAGAATAGTTTGATTAGTTTTAAAACCTTTCTTTGGCCTCTGACTTAATTACATTTCACCCACACTCTGAAGTTGGTCTCTGAAAAATGGTACTCAAGAAGAAAAAAATCATTAAATAACCCCTAGAAGACAATAAACTTCATTGTTGGACCCAGGAAGATAGTAAACTTTAACAAGGCTCTGTCCTGTTATGAAAGGATGCTTCATTCAGAATGTTTTCTGTGTTTCTCTGTGTCTCTTTCTGTGTTTCTTTCTCTACGAAAGGGTCCATTCCTGAAGAGGATGCTGGGAGGTTGTATAACACCTGTGCTGTGTTCGGGCCTGACGGAGCTTTGCTGGTGAGGCACAGAAAGGTAGGCAGAGGATGTGCAAGTCTCACTGCCGATTGAGAATTCGCGCTGAGGTTCCCAGGACCCGCCCTGTGGTACACACATCAGACATTGGATTTGTTGGCACAGGTGGTTATACGTGGCTGTTGGCCTGCTGATATAAATTGTAGACTCAGCCTATCAATTTTGGTCAGGAAAAACCTACAAGAATTTTGATTAGGATGGTGTTAAACATATAGTGATCACCTAGGGGAGAGTTGACATCTTTGCAGTGGTAATGCATGCACATACACTTAGGATTGTTAAGTCTTCTTGGTAAATTGATCCTTTTGTCATTATGATATGTCCTTTTTTTCTGGTATACTGTTTGCCTTGACGTTTATCTCTGATATTAGTAAAGCCACTGTAGCCTTCTTCTAATTACTGTTTGTATGGTACATCTTTTTCTAATCCATTTTCAATCTGGATGTCTCTTTATATCTAAATGCTTCTCTTGCAGACAGCATGTAGTTGGGTCTTTTTTCATTCTGACAACCTTTGCCTTTTAACTGGAGTGGTCACTCTATATTTAATGTAATTATTAATATGATTGGATTTTAAGCATGTAGACATTTAATTATTGTTTCCCTTTGTTCCTCTTTCCTGCATTCTTTTGAGTTGAGTAGTAGTTTGGTTTTTTTTTCCCCTAAGTTGTTGCCCTAGGGATTACAATATACACAGGTTATCTTGTCATAGGCTTCTTAGTTAATAATCTGCTTCTTCATGTAAAATTTATGAATCTTGCAATTATAGTGGTCCATTCTTTATGCTGTGGTTGTCATATGTATTGCCTCTATATACATTATAAATCCCACAAAATACTAATTTATAATTTCAATAGTCATTTGTATTTTAAAGAAATTAAGAGAAATATTTCATGTTTACCCCACTGTTTACCATATCTGGTATTTTTCTTTTCTTCCTGAAGATCTTAATTCTGTCTGGTATGTTTACCTTCAAACAAAAAGATCTCCTTTAGCATTTTGAAGTGAGCATCTGCTAGGTATGAATTCTCTCAGTTTTATTTATGAATATATCTTCACTTGGCCATTTTTTAAAAGATATTTTTGATGTGGACTGTTTTTAAAATCGTTTTGAATTGATTGCAGTATAGCTTCTGTTGCTTATGTTTTGGTCTTTTGGCCAAAAGGCATGTGGGGTTTTAGCTCCCTGACCAGGGGTCGAACCCCCAGCCTCCTGCAGTGGAAGGTGACGTCTTAGCCACTGGACCTCCAGGGAGTCTCTGCCTTCGTTCTTAAAAGATGTTTTTGGTGGAATAGAATTCTGGGTTGACAGTTTTCTTTTCTCCCTCAGATGTTTGAGAGGCATTATTCATTATTCAGTTATCTTCTGGCCTCTTTTTTTCCCCCTGATACTAAGTCAGGAGGGCTTCCCAGGTGGCTCAGTGGGTAAAAGAATCTGCCTGCCAATGAAGGAGATGTTGGTTCCATCTCTGGGTTGGGAAGATCCCCCAGAGGAGGGTATGGTGACCCACTCCAGTATTCCTGCCTGGAGAATCCCGTGGACAGAGGAGCCTGGTGGGCTACAGTCCATGGGGTTGCAGAGTCAGATATGCCTGAAGCAACTGAGCATGTGCACACGTGTGAAGTCAGTGGTGATTTCTATTCTCCTGCATGTAATTCGTGTTTTTCTCTACCTGCCTTCAAGGTCTTTTCATAATCTTTAGTTCTCAGTATTTTGACTCTTATATTCCTGATACAAGTTTTTTTTTTTTTTTTGTATCCGTCCTGCTTTGTGTTTCTTTAATGTGTAACTTTAGTTTCTCACTATATTTGGGAAACTTGGGAGCATTAAATATAGAGTGACCACTCCAGTTAAAAGGCAGAGATTGTTAGAATGAAATATTCAATAAATATTAGATATTTTTCTGTCCAATTCTCAGATTCTTATGGGACCCCAATTTTGATACTGTTCACCAAACCTGGTCACCAAGGCTGTTGTTTTCTATTTCTGTTTTGCAGCACTTTGTCTTCTTCAGATTGCATGCTTTCCATTGATCTTTCATGTTCACTGAGTCTTCTGTAATCTCCCCTCTCCTATAATCCAGTGAAATTTTTTAAAAATGTCAGATGTTGAATTTTTCATTTCCCACATTTTTATTTCGTTCTCTTTTTTTACAGCTTTTATTCTCCCCTACGTTTCCTCTTTGTTTATTTGTTACGAGCATCTGTTTCTTTACTTTCTTGAGGTTAGTTTCAGTAGCTGCTTTATCGTCTGTGGTAGTGATCACATCTGGGTCTTACCGGGTCTGTTCCATTGCTGCCTTTTCTCTAAGAGTTTGGCTCATACCTCTGCGTGTCCAAATTTTTGGATTGTATATTGGATTATATATTGTTGAGACTCTAACTTCTATTGCGTTCGCCCGAAAGTGTTGAGTTTTTTATTTGAGCAGGTGGGGAGTTAGGGCATACTTGCAGACCAGACTCTTCCTTGGTGAGATGGGTGGCAGCTGCAGCTGCTCCGCCTGTTGTAAAGTTTAGCTTTAGCTGGGCTGCTCAGAGTCTGCCCCAGACACCTTTAGTGCATTGGTTAGTCAGAGATTTGCACAGGTTTTATATGTAAAATTTAGGGCTCTTCTTTTGCTTTCTCCTTTTAAGTATTTCCCCCTCACTTTCCAGCTGCTGTGAAGCTCTGTCCTCTGATTCCTTGGCTGGTGTGTTGGTGGGTCGTTGTGACCACCACTCCCAGCAACAGCTGGGGCCTTGCTTCCAAATAAAAGTTGTAAACAAGTGGGAAACTGACCCAACATTAGATCCTATCTTCCAGAAGTTGACTTCTCTCTAATTTTTGCCTGATTTTGATTATTGTCAGGTGCTTTTAAGTAGTTGTATTTTTGTTTTGTTTTGTCCAGAGTTCAGGGTTACCTGTGAGAAAGCTGGTCTTACAGGAGACATACAGCAAATTTTTAAAATATTGACCTTGTATATAATACCCTTGCTTAAACTCATTCATTCTAATAATTCACCTGTGTATGTCCTTTGACATTCCTTAGGTACACAATTATTATCTGAGAATAATGGCTTTTAATTTTTTCTTTCTAATCTTTACCCTTTTTATCCTTTTCCTTCGCCTTGTTGCTTTGGTTAGGACCTCTGGTCCAGTGTTGAATAGCAGGTGTACTTACCTTGTTCCTGGTCTCAACGGAAGAAGGGTTTTAATGTTTCACCTTTAAATAGGTTTCTTTAGTTTTGTTTTTTTTTTTTGCAGATTCTCTTTGTCAGATTAAAGGGGTTCCCATCCTAGAAGAGTTTTTCTCTTTTGTTTTTTAAATAAGGATGTTGTTCGGTGACTCAGTCGTGTCCAACTCTGCGACCCCATGGACTGCAGCATGCCAGGCTTGAATAAGAATGGATGTAGAAATTTACCAAATGCTCATTATACACCTCTTAGGATGATCATGTGACTTTTCCCCTTTATTATGTTCATGTGGTAAATCACTTTGATTTTTCAAATGTTAAATCACATTTGCTTTCTTTGAATAAATCCAGTTTGGAAGTTAGACTTTTTAATATATTGCTGCATTGGGTTTAGAAAACTGTCTATTTTTGGTCACTCGCCCACTCTCCTTGCCAATGTGTCAGTTTAATTCTGATTCCAAGAAGTCTTCATTTAGCATTTATATTGAGTAAAAAAAGCAGCATATTAATTGCTTTCCATAAGAAATCTAGACGGTGATTTGCACACCACCAAGGGAAGAAGGATCATACAACCTACAGCATGACTTTTCCAGTTCCCTGTGTTAGAAGTCGTTTACATAGGATGTCAGTCAGCTTGTGGAGTGGGTTGTGGGCAGGTTGGGGCTGGCCTTTGCACAGTTGATTTTAGAACACCCCCATGGCTGGCCATGGAAAGGTGTTTGTTGTTACTGCCATGAGCCCTGCCGGAAAGGAGGTAACCGAATCCTTTATTTGTGTCGCAGCTCCATCTGTTTGACATTGATGTTCCTGGGAAAATCACGTTTCAAGAATCGGAAACATTGAGTCCTGGTGATAGTTTCTCTGTCTTTGATACTCGTACGTACCAGATAAATTCTCCCCTTTCAGCAGGACCAGTAGACCAGGGTCAGGTAGTCCTTTGTTTCTCATTATGTTGCTTCCCAACTTCTTTACAGAAACCTGACTGCAAGGCCAGGGGGGAGAAGGGCAGAGAATGGTCCGAGGTCTAGAAAGCAGGGGATTTAATGGAGAACTAAGGGTTTGACATGATTGTGCTTTCCCGCTGGTCACAGCCTTTATTAGTGTGATAGCTTCCGGCCTGTACCTGTTAGGCCATGACTGAACCCCTCCCACTTAGATAAGAAACATTTATTAATAATTAGAGTGAATTTCTCATTTCTGCTCTACTGACATAAATGATGTTCTCACAAGGCAAAATCCACGCAGGAGCAAACTTACACGTTCTCTCCGTCCACGGGCCCTGCATGCATGTACTCCCGCCAGTGTTCTGTGACCACTGGATCTTGGAGACTTTCCCTGGCCGCGCCTGCTTCAGATTTAACTTTGTACATTTTCTGTTTGGAGAACAGCTTACTGCAGGGTGGGCCTGGGCATCTGCTACGACATCCGCTTCGCAGAGCTGGCGCAGATCTACGCACAGAGAGGTGAGGCTGCCTTGGGTCAGGTCATGTAGGTGCTCGGAGACTGGTTGGCTCTGGGCTTTGCGGGTGGAGGGAGTCCTTGGTCAGAAAACCTGGAGGAGGTCTTAATCTCCACATCTGTTGTGAGTTCTCAGACTGCTTCTGCAAATGGGCAGTGTGGCTTTCCGGAGGCTGTGGTTGAACATACCACACAGCTAACGCAGGAGCCACATTCCTAAAGGAAACGCTGCTCCGCCATTGGAGCCCTTCCTGCCCTGTTTGGAGAGGCACTTGGGCCCCAGCAGTAGGTCTGCCTGCACGTGGCTTTCACCACTCACTCGCCCTCGATGTTGGGAGCAGCAGAAAGGTAGTCAGTGCCACTTCGGTCCAGAGGACCATCCTGCCGACCTGCAGAAGCACAGGTCAGAGGAGGAGTCCTGGGTTTTGGTTCCAGCTCTGCCTCTTAATTGGCCCAGTGCTTTGGGTAAATTAATCTCTGGAGAACTGTGGGTCTCCGTTTTCTCATAGGACAGATGTGAGGATTACAGACAGAGAACTTTGGAAGCTCCTCATATGATACTCAGCAGTGCTAGCATCCTTACTAGACTGCCAGAGGTACTCTGACCCTGGTTCTTGTCTCACTGTAAAGTGAAGTGGTGCAGACGGTTTGACACCCTGCTCGGCAGAAGGCGGCGGGGCAGGGGCTCCGGACTGGCTGTCTCAGTGGAGTCTTAGCTCTGAGAAGCGGAGCAATTCGTCTTCTCCTCATTTCAGCTGATGAACGTCACAAAACATGGTCCTTGACCCTGGGAGCCGTCCACATGGTGCTGAGAGAAGTCTGAATGACGGACTCTGCGTTTTTCAAGCAGAGTCACCTTTGCTTGAAAAGTGGTTGTCAGGACCACTGTACATGTGTGTATGTGTTGTGTGTGTGTGTCTCTAGAGAAATTCAGAGCCATCCATAGCACTGCTGAATCTGTTCACATTGGGGGAGTTTGAGTTTGGTCCCACTGTAAGGAGCAGAGGGAGGGCTAATGTGTTTGGGTATCCACCTGCATCCGTCTTCTTTGGCCTTTCTCGCCCCAAGGCTGCCAGCTGCTGGTGTATCCTGGAGCTTTTAATCTGACCACCGGGCCAGCCCACTGGGAGTTGCTTCAGCGAGGCCGGTAAGAAAGCGTCTCAGTGTTTCTCTGCGAAAATGTTTGCGGTTAGGTGGAAGCATCAGCCTTCCCGTACGGAATGCTGCCTCTGACTCGGGCCGCCCTGGCCCCCGGAGGCGGCTCCCAAAGGCGACTGACTCTTCGTCTGCCCGTCCGAGGGGAGGGCGTCTGCTGTGGGCTCCTCCTCAGAAGCCACAGCACCAGCCTTGTGGATTTTGAGGACTGATGTCTGCATTTCCAGGAGCGTTCACTGCATCAAGCGGGCAGTGCTTTGGTTTTCCTGCGTTCAGACATGGAGTTGTGTCTCTGAAAGAGTTGCCAGCAGGTTTTCCCGAGAATTGGAGACCCACGGAGTGTACACGGCTGGAGCCAAGGCACTGGCGAAGGTCCTTTAGGCCGACAGCCCGCGGGGAGGCCTGCGGTCACGCTCAGCAGGCCCTGTGCTGTGATGGCGCTTATGCTACCCCGTCCTCCGTGGTTTCCTGCCAGTCTCGGTACTCTGCCGAGACGCGTGTGATAGGTTCTCGTCCTTCCAGCCTCTGAGTCCTGAGCGCTGCGCGGCTGTGCTGTGCGTGGGACAGATACTGTTTCCTTAGTCGCCCGAGGAGTGGCAAAGGGCAGATAGCAGAGGTGGGTTAACATGGAAGGGGACAGGAATGCGACTGTGAGGTGCTCTGCAAACCGTGACATGCTGCTCAGAGATGATGGGTTGTTCATGCAAAGATTTCTGTAATTGAGGTATTATATACTCACACAAAAGTGTACTAGTTTAAGTTTACAGATCAGTGAATTTTTACATATGGATTCACCTGTGATCAGGATCAAATCTAGAACATTTCTAGCCCCTTGGAGCGCTCCCCTTTTCTCCTTCCCAATCAGTACTCTCCTCTCTGCCCAGGGGTGGCCACTAGGCTCCCATCTGGAGATGACAGTGGTTTTTATTGGAAGAGGATGTAGAGTGTTTGGCTGATTGCATGATGGAAGGTGGTAGGGGTATGTGATCCCGTGAGTATTAATAAATGCTGCTTTGTTGAAAGCAGGAAAAGCTGGAGAGAGCGGGAATGACCTGGTATGAATCTTGGTTGAGGCCAGAGGGCTGTGGGTCAGGTGGCCTGGTGTAGCCGCACTACCATCTGGAATTCTTGCCCAATTTGAGGTGATGGGACTGCCCCATTGCATGGAAGGGCCCTGCAACCCTGCTCGGAGTGTTGTCCCAGCGAGGCCAGGCCATTCTCTCTGGTCACCTGGATTGCCCTGGTCAGAAATGGCTCCAGACCCTGGCAGAAGTCCCCTGCTGGGCAGAATGGCCCCAGTTGAGAACTAGCTTGTGCAGTAAGGTCCTTTTTGAGGAAAGGGTTCTGTGGCTTTGAATGTTTCTTCCACGTCCGAGCCAGTCTGTCCTGTGATAGTTTTTGAAAGAAGGGTCTGGACACTCGGGATAAAAGCGTCTCAGATCTGTACTCTGGTTTGCCTCTTTTCTGTCGTTGACTGCAGGGCTGTTGATAATCAGGTGTACGTGGCCACGGCATCTCCTGCCCGGGACGAGAAAGCCTCCTATGTTGCCTGGGGGCACAGCACCGTGGTGAGTCCTTGGTGAGTTGGCTCTGCAGGGACAGGCCCGCTGAGGAGAGAGGTGGTTCTCGGGCAGGTGGGGTGTCTGGTTCCGGAGTGACCCCGCGCATCCCTCCGCTCCCGTCTCCCCACAGGCCTGCCCGGGCACTAGGTCCCTCTGTGCAAGGAGCTTCCCCTTGAAAACCGTGTGCGAGGGAAATGGCCCAGCTCTCCTGACTGAGTGCTCGGCCTCAGCCCTGTTCTGAGTTTCTGAGTGACGTTCACTGTGAGCCAAACTTGCAAATGAGGCAGAAGTCATGGGTGCGTGGTTTTTCTAGTAAAAGAGGCCCCCAAACTCTTGGCTTTGGGTTAAAATTTAGACCGGGTCACTGGACCTAGGGCTGGAGTGAGTTGAGGGTAAGGATTTTGCTCCCTGCATAATAACGCTTAGAGGAGAGTGGAGGATGGGTTGGATTAAGAGGAACAGTGAACCTGTGCGCTGTGAGAGGGTAAAGCATTCTATCACTTAGGGAAATCAGCACGGGAATCTGCCCAGATACACACAGCTATCACATATGGTGATAGACGTGTCTTACCGGCATTGGTGCAATTTACATGGTACTTTCACACACACACATCTCAATTTGAGCTCTCAAGGACTTATCTTTATTTAGCCCAGTTAATAGATGGTAGACTTGAAGTTCACAGGATGAAGTGGCTAGAATTGGTGTTTGGAGCCAAGACTTTGGAATTCAGAACTTAGATTTATTTCACACCACTTCTCAGTATGTCTGTATGATTACAGGCACACACACACAGATATGTACTTCTAAAATTTCAGGATAAACATATCAGTAACAAGGCTGCAAAGGCTTACACATCACTGTGGGGTTCCCAGAGTTTCTCTCTTCTGACTTTGTAGGACTCACAGATGGACGTGTGTGGTGGGGAAGGCCTATGGCCAGTGGGAGTCTCGTGAGCCTCCTGCACATTAGGATCTGGGGTGCACTGGAAGGCTGGAAGGATCGAGTTGGCTTCAGAATGTTCTTAAACTTGACGTGCGTTCCTCTGCAGACATTAGTGATCGGCTTACTGACCTTGTGGGCAGCTCTGCTCCCCAGCTGGTTCTCCTGGTGAGCCCTTACTCATCAGGCTGGCTGCTTTTGACACAATTGGTCACATAAGATTTGCCCCTATTTCTTCATTTGCAGAATTTCCCCGATTTGGTTGGGAGCTGTGTGGCTTATTTGTCATTGTGATAGGTGCCTAGGGTTAACATAGAGATCTTTGCATGCCAGGGCAAATGGGGAAAAAAATAGAAGAAAGAGACTAGAAAAGGATTCAGTTAAGCGGCACGAATGTTGATGTCTGTAGCTTATTGTGCCAAAAATCTGTGGCCCTAGATGGAACCAATTATTATATCAGTTGTTTGTTGTATCAGATCATTTTGTTCTGTGCTTTGGATAAACTTCACAGATAATGTTTTTTAAACGAATGATTAAGTTCTGGCTGTGCTGGGTCTTCGTTGCTGCTTGAAGGCTTTCTCTAGTTGTGGCAGGTGGGGGCTGCTACATGTTGTGGAGCACAGGCTTGGTCGCCCAGCGGCAGGTGGGGTCTTCCTGGACCAGGGATTGCACCCATGTTCCCTGCATTGGCAGGCAGTTTCTTAACCAGTGGACCATCAGGGAAGTCCCACAGCTATGTTTTTGAATGCCTGTTTTGGGCCAAGAGACTCAGCATTGGAAATAGTTTTCCAAATCAGCTTCTCCTCAGGTTTTGTGGAGTGTTGTTGTTTCCAGTGTGGGGTTCCTGCCGGGTCATGGGTCCACCACTTCTACTCAGGCCTCATAGGCCGAAATCTTTCCCTCCAAACCCAGAAGCCGTTAGCATAGGGATGCAAGGATCACAGACGCGAGGCCAGAGATCCAGGCAGACCCACGCCTCCCCTCTGCATCCCCAGGGTTACGTGGCAGCCTTGGGAGGTATGAGGAGACAGAGCTACACTGCCCTTGGCCAGAGATCCAGGCAGACCCACGCCTCCCCTCTGCATCCCCAGGGTCACGTGGCAGCCTTGGGGGGTATGAGGAGACAGAGCTACACTGCCCTCGGAAAGGGGCCTTGAGTGCGCTCACGACAGGGTGGGAGTAGATTCCCTGCGGCTCAGACGGTAAAGCGTCTGCCCGCAGTGCGGGAGACCCGGGTTCGATCCCTGGGTCGGGACGGTCCCCTGGGGAAGGGAATGGCACCCACTCCAGCATTCTTGCCTGGAGAATCCCATGGACTGGGTAGCCTGGTGGGCTACAGTCCATGGGGTCGCAAAGAGTTGGACACGACTGAGCGACTTCACTTTCACTTTCATAGTAGGAATAGGAAAGTTTCATTCAAGCCAAACTGAGGACTGTAGCCCAAGAGACAGCTTCTCAGATAGCTGTGAGCAATTGTTCTGAAGAAGCATTGTTTGCAGCAGTTTTATATCTTATCAGAGCAAGGAACATCAAACACAACAGGCACATTCCTTCAAGATTTAAAAAAAAAATTATTTTCTCCTAAGTCCTCAGAGTTCTATTTCCACTTTATAGATTAGGAAGTTAGAGATTCCACATGGCTTGCCAGAATACCACATAGGTACTTAAGTGGTTCAGTTCAGTTCAGTCACACAGTCGTGTCTGACTCTTTGCGACCCCATGAATTGCAGCACGCCAGGCCTCCCTGTCCATCACCAACTCCGGGAGTTTTCTCATACTCATGCCCATCGAGTCGGTGACGCAATCCAGCCATCTCATCCTCTGTCGTCCCCTTCTCCTCCTGCCCCCAATCCCTCCCAGCATCAGGGTCTTTTCCATTGAGTCAACTCTTCGCATGAGGTGGCCAAAGTATTGGAGTTTCAGCTTCAGCATCAGTCCTTCCAATGAACACCCAGGACTGATCTCCTTTAGGATGGACTGGTTGGATCTCCTTGCAGTCCAAGGGACTCTCAAGAGTCTTCTCCAGCACCACAGTTCAAAAGCATCACAGGAATTTATGCCCATATTTTCTTGTTTTAAATCTCAGATTCCTTCCTCTTTGGCCTGTGAGATAGGGAGGAAAAAGAGATAGTAAATAACAGCAAACATCAGGGAACTGACTCATTGTCCCCTGGATGTTTTTCAGGGGGGAGGTCCTCGCCAAAGCTGGCGCTGAAGAAACGATCGTGTATGCAGATATAGGTAAGATTCACCCTGGGCCAGTTTAGGTGTCTGGTGTCCCTGCTGCCCCGAGGCCAGGTTCTCTAGCTGTAGAACAGGGAGGGCCTCCTTTATGCCCCGCCCTCCTCATTTATCCTTGGTTCTCTGGCTAAGCCCTGCGCTCTGTCTCAGCCTGAGTTTTCTTGGTTTGGTTTGAAATGACACCAGGGGCAGTGCCAGGCTGAATGTGCCTCCAGACAAGGCCCATGAGTAAATTACTGGCTCTGGTTGTTTCTATACTGTTTGGGGAAGAATTTCCTGTTAGCGAGTAAGGAATCACATCTACTAATAGTGCACTTTTCTGTTTTTGCAGACCTGAAGAAGTTGGCTGAAATTCGCCAGCAAATCCCCATTTTTAGCCAGAAGCGATCAGACCTCTATGCAGTGGAGGCCAAAAAATCCTGATGTTTCCAACATGTCATGAAACAGGAAGATATGTTTCTACATGATAATCAACAATCTTATGAATTCTTTAATGGAATTTTTTTTTTTTTAATAATTTCAACCTTTTCCCTTCCTGGAAAGGGAAGCCCTGTTGGGATGCTGGAGCTGATGCTGGTATTCTCCCCACCATATAAAACCGCCGAAAAGGACTCAGGCTGGCATCGGGGAGCAGGAGGAGGGAGGGGGCGGCTCTAAATCTTCCATGTTCAAGTTGTCTCAGGCAGTTATTAAAATATCAGATCCTGGTATCCCTGATGGTTGATCCACCTGATACAAGTGTATTTGTGTGGTGAACCTCTTATCTGATTGCTGGAGTTGGAATACAATATATGCAGAAACCTTGGTCTTTGAGCAGTGTCTTAATGTCACATTTTGGTCTGTGAGTGGTTGTGGGATGGACCCTTGATGTTTGCTAGAGGAGGTGGCAGCCCCGCCCTCCCTGGCACCCTTAGAGGTCTTCAGAATCAGGAGGAGCTAAGGATTTAACCCCCCCCCCCCCACCACCCTCCCCCCCCCCCCCCCCCCCGCCTAGTTTAAGGGAAACATTTCAATAATGAGCCCCCTGGCAGTGGCATAATATGGTCAAGGCAACTGAAGTTGTGAGCTGCAAGATTCTCTTAATATGGTTGAATGTCTGAAAGTCTCTTTTTTTTTCCCTTCTCCTTAGTAACACTTTTAGCTTGATAAAGTCAAGTTTTCAGCCTAGTGGTTTTCAGAATCCTTTTACACAATTAAAATGAAAGAATTCCATTGAGCTTTTCTTTATGTGTATTATAGCTAGTGATGGGTTGATAGATCTTTAAGACCAGCAGTATGAGAAAGTCGATTCTCTGGACGCATTTCGCAACTTCCAAGGTGTACTTACTGCCAAATTCAAGCTATCAATATAACACCTCAAAACACAGAGCTGGCAGTGTGATTAGCTCTTGTGACCTAGTGTAAGTCTGCTGTCACACACCGTTTCCATGTATATAGATATTTGCCATATTGGAAAGTAAAATTTAAAAGAATACATGAATGCACATCCCATTAGCTGTAAGAATAACGACATTATCTGGGACTTCCCTGCTGGCCCAGTGGTTAAGACTCTGAGCTCCCAATGCAGGGGCCCCAGGCTCGATCCCTGGTCAGGGAACTAGATCCCACATGCTGCAACTAAGACCTGAGGCAGCCAAATAAATGAATAAATATTTTAAAAAATTGATGACATTATTGAGTTTAATTTAACCTTTGAAAAATAGCACTGTATATATATGCACAAGGGTTCAACAGTGAAAAATCAAATGACTTTTTAAAAATAAGTGTACAATTTGGCAAAATTTGACGTGTATATGTCCGTGAAACCACATTAGTCAAGATAATGAAAATACTCACCGCCCCTAAAAGCTTCCTTGTATATTTTATAATCTCTCTGGCTACTCCTCTTATGCCCAGGTGATCACTGGTCAGCTTTGTCACTACAGACTAGTTTGAATTTTCCAAAATTACCTACAAGTGGAGTCATACTCTAGTTTTTTATCTGTTTGGTAAATAAGTTCATTTGTATCTTTTTTTTAGATTCCACATATAAGTGATATGACATTTATCTTTGACTTCCAGTTATATGATGATCTCTAGGTCTGTCCATGTTACTGCAAATGGCTTTGTGACTGAGTAATATTCCATTATATGTATGCACCACATCTTTATCCATTTATCTGTTCATGGACATTTAGGTTGCTGCCATGTCTTGGCTGTTGTAGTGTCATAATTAGGGTGCATGTATTTTTTTGAATTCTAGTCTTGTCTGAGTATATGGCCAAGAGTGGAATTGTAGGATCATATTGGTCAGTCGTATCCGACTTTTTGAGACCCCATGGACTGCAGCATGCCAGGCTTCCCTGTCCTTCACCATCTCAAGTGGTGAGCTTGCTCAAACTCATGTCCATTGAGTCAGTGATGCCATCCTACCATCTTGTCCTCTGTCGTCTCCTCCTCCTGCCTTCAGTCTTTCCCAGCATCAGGGTCTTTTCCAGTGACTTGGCTCTTGGCATCAAGTGGCCAAAGTAGTGGAGTTTCAGCCTCAGCATCAGTCCCTTCAGTGAATATTCAGGATTGATTTCCTTTAGAATTGACTGGTTTGATCTCCATGCAGTCCAAGGAACTCGCGAATCATACGGTAAATTACAAATGTAGTTTTTTAAAGTTCTCCCTAGTGGCGCCACCAATTTACATTTCCACTAACAGTGTAGGAGGTTCCCTTTTCTCTGCATCTCTCCAGCTTTTATTATTTGTAGCCTTTCTGATGGCTGTTCTGACTGATGTGAGGTAATACCTCATTATAGTTTTGATTTGCATTTCTCTATTAATTAGCAACATTGAAGATCTTTTCATGTGTCTTTTGGCTATCTGTATGTCTTTGGGAAAATGTCTGTTCAGGTCTTCTCATTTTTTAAAATTGAGTTGTTTGAGTTTTTTGTTTGTTTTTTGTCACTGAATTGTATTAGGTCATTATTTTGGAGGTTAATCCCTTGTTGGTCACATCGTTTGCAAGTATTTTCTCCCTTTTTGTGAGTTTTCTTTTTGTTTTGTTGATGGTTTCCTTTGCTCATGACAAAAGTTTTTAAGTTTAATTAGGTCCCATTTGTTTTTATTTTTAATTAGGAGGTGGATCCAAAAAAATACTGGCTGTGATTTATGTCAGAGTGTTCTGCCTGTTTTAAGAGTTTTATAGTATCTGGTCTTACATTTAGGTCTTTAATCCATTTTGAGTTTATTTTTATGATGTTAAGAGAATGTCCTCATTTCACGCTTTTCTGTCCAGCTTTCCCAGCACCGCTTACTGAAGAGACTTACCTTTTCTCCACTGCGTCCTTTGTCGGTTAATTGACTAAGTGCTTGGGTTTATTTCTGGGTTTTCTATCCTGTTCCATTGATCTGTACTTCTGTTTTGTCTCAATAACACGCTGTTTTGCTTAATGTAGCTCCGCAGTGTAGCCTGAAGTCAGAGCCTAGTTCCCCCAGCTCTGTGTTCTTTCTCAAGATTGCTTTGGCTATTTGAGGTATGACCCATTTTGAATTGGTAATTTTTTGTATATGGTGTAAGAGTCCAGTTTTGTCTTGTTTTTTTTTTGCTTTTCGCTATCCCATTGTTCCATTGAATTGCCTTGGCATCTTTATTAAAATGAATCGGCCATATACATTCTTAAATATATATGAACTAACTTACCGTGTTGGTTACTGTAACTTAGTAGTATGTCTTGAAGCCAGTATTGGTCCTCCAGCTTATTTTTCAAAATGGTTTAGACTAAGTCCTTTTATCTCCAAACAAACTTCAGAATTAGATTGTAAATTTCTGTAGAACATAAACCTGTCTGGGTTTTCATTGGAATTGCATTGAATCTGTGGAAAGTTGACATCTTACCAATATTGACTCACTGACTCAGAAATATGAGATATTTCCTCAATTATTTGGGCCTTTCTTAATTTCTCTCAACAGTGTTTGTTAATTCCAGAGTAAAGGTAATGCAAATCTTTTGTCCATTTTATCCCTAAAGCCTACAAGTTTTTTAATGCTCACTATTGACAAAGTAAGTTTTGTAAACTTATTTCTTGTTTTTTCATTGCTGGTGTATAAAATAGAATTTATTTATATATGTGCTCTTTTATTCTGCAACCTTGCTAAATTCATTCTAGCAGCTTTTTATGTTTGTATTCTATAAGATTTTTCACATAGATGATCATGTCTGCAAATACAGTATACAAAATAAATAAGTTCCCTCCTTTCCAATCTGGCTTTTCTTTTTTTTTTTTTTTCCTGGCCTGTAACATTGTCTAGAACCTCTAGTACAGTTCTGAACAGACTCATGAGTGGGTATATTTGTGTTGGTCCTGATCTACAGGAAGCATTTAGTCTTTCAAAGACGCCTTCTATGACTGGGGAGATTCCTTTGTGTTCCTAGCGTGCTGAGAGTTTTTATCTGGAAAGGATGTCAGATTTTTTTCAGATGCTTTTCCTGCCTTTATTGAGACAAACATCTTTTTCCTTCTTTAGTCTATGTTTATACTTTGTGAATTATGTTGATTTTGGAATGGTGAACCAGCCTTGCATTTCTGGGATAAACTTCACTTGACCACAGTATATTAAGGTTTGCTCTTCTTCTTTTTTCTTCTGTTTACTTTGCGTTTCATTTGCTCTTTTCTAGTTTTTTAAAGTGGGGCTTAGGTTTATTGAAGACCTTTTGTCCTTTCTAATAGAGTTGTTTTAGTGCTATAAATTTCCCTCTAAGTATTGCTTTAGTGGCATCACAAATCTTTGATATATTTTCATTTAGTTTAAAATACTCTTATTTCCCTTTTAATGTTTTCTTTGATCCAAGGATTATTTATGTTAATTTTGAAATATTTGAGATTTTCCAGATCTTTCTGTTTTGCTTTCTAATTTGATTCCATTGTGGCCAGATAACATACATTGTATAATTTAAATACTTCTAAATTTGTTTTATGAGATTGTTTTATAGCCCGTACTATGTTCTTAGTAAATGTTCCATGTGCCCTCGAAAAGAATGTGTATTTGGCTGCTGTTATATGTAGTTTTATATTAATGTCAATTAAGTCACACTGGGTGATAGTGTTTTTAAGTCTTCTGTATATCTTTAGTTGTTTTTTGTCTTAATTTTTCTGTCAGTTATGAACAGAGGGGTGTTGATATCATGGAGCATAATTGTGGATTTGTCAGTTTCTCATTACAGTTCTTTCATTTTGCTTCAGGTATGTTGAAGCTCTTATTAGGTGCATATTTAGAGCTGTTATGTCATCTTGTTGAATGTCACTTTTATTCATTATGAAATTAACAGTTTGTATCCCTGGAATAAATCCCACTTGATCACAGTGTATGATCTTTTTATACATGGTTGAATTCAGTCTGCTAATATTTTGTTGAAGGTTTTTACATCTATATTCATCAGAGACATTGGCCTCAA